TACATGAGTGAGCGTAGTCAGTTTTACTTTGTAGATTCATGCATGGGTGAGCGTAAACAGTTTTACTTTGTAACATCATACATGAGTGAGCGTAGTCAGTTTTACTTTGTAGATTCATGCATGAGTGAGCGTAGTCTGTTTTACTTTGTAACGTCATGCATGGGTGAGCGTAGTCAGTTTTACTTTGTAAATTCATGCACAAGAGAGCGTAGATACACCAAAGAAATTGATGACTAGCATGACGCAGTATAGCAAGTTAAAAGCACAAAGGGGGAAATCGTTTTTCGTGCTTGAGAAGAAATAATAAAATTTATATTTGACAATCGAGTCATGCTTGAGGAGAATGAACAAAATTTATATTTGACAAGAGAGTCGTGCTTGAGGAGAACCAATAAATTTTATATCTGACAAAAGGGATAGTTTGTGAATAAGCCCACAGACACTACCAAAAGTATATCTCATTCTGCATGTAAACTTGTGCAAATGATCATTTCTATAGAGAATTTTATTTCTAGGGTCACTTTGGCGACGATCTCGCTATTCAAACCAGAAACGTGACAATTTATATGAGCCAATCGTTAGTTTCGTCAAGCAGTTTTGTACATATATGTTGAGCTGATACAACAGAGTGGGTCGATATGTTACGTAGAACATAAGTGACTTAGTATTTATGATTAGTCTTTACAAGAAGCCTATAACGTGTTGGGCGGTGACACTTCGCGCTATTACCTTCCTTTGATGTATAACCTGCCAGGTTTCTCAATAATTGACAACCCCACCACTTTGAATATGCTTGAAATATATTGCAGTCGATGAAATACCAGTCTACAAGCACAAGTGCGATACAGACGAGACTCTTTTCACGCTCTTTCTCTGAGTCCAATTTTCAAGGTCATTTTCAGAAAGCATTTGTCGGAAAACTATTAGGCCCTATACATTCAGTCATGGCTTTTTGAACGCGCATTAGAGAGTCGTATTTATTCCAATTTACGTCTACTCGGGGATATTTTGCCAAGAATTTGTAAACAAGCTTTTGTATCTCGTAAATATGTGCCTATAGAACGGTTTAGTGCAACGGCCATCTATTTATCTTCAGTACTAACGTTATCTCGTGTACTTTTCTCTCAATACAATATCATAAGCGTGATTGTAACTGAAATCGTTGGTGAGTAATTCGAAATTATATTTAGGGAGGTTGGAATTTTATCGCTGCGTTTGACGAGTTCACATACTATGGACTATTTACATTTATGACAAACATTTTCAGCTCTGATTTGGCATAAACAAAAAGAGATAACTCTCTTAGTAAACAGAGGGACTTGTAGACTTTGCACTGTGAAGTTATTTCTTCGATATGACGTACAATTATATCGATGAAACTTTGACTTAAATTATTACAACATAAAAGCAAAATAGGTCGATTTATCTCTGTGCAACCACGTTCTGCTTTAATATTGCATGACAAAGGGTAGTAATTCTGGCAATGAACGAAGAGATAGATGCGTACACTTTGCGTTGCGTGAAATAATTTCTTCGTAATGACGACACTACAAGAAGAGCGCGATCGTGAGGTCGGAATCGCTACGTTCGATGAGTTCACATACAATTATATGGTCTATTTAACTTTATGATAAACCTTTTCAGCCTTGATTTGGTATAAACAAAAAGAAATAATTATGGTAGTAAACATAGATACTTATATCGGAAAACTATAACTTATATTATTGTAACATAAAAGCAAAATAAGTCGATCTATATCCGTGACAACCATGTTCTGCTTTATTCTTGCATATCAAAGGGTAGCAGAACTGAGAGATAGACCTGTACACTTTACGTTGCTCGAAATAATTTCTTCGTAATGTTGACGCTACACGCAGAGCACGATCGATCACAATTGTTCACAGGAAAATGTGGGACAAATATAAAATAAATTGAATGGAGTAGCGTATTCACTTATTTGAAAAAAATACAATATTTACGAATGAATAAACGATAAAGACGAGGCAAATATGAAATGAATTATATAAAGTGGCAGATGCAATTATTCGAAGAAAATTACAATATTTACAAATATATAAAACGGTTACAAGACAATTTCCGGGCAGAATTACGGTCTCTGTGATTAGAAAAACGAAATAGTCCCAGTCAATTTTATTTTTTCCAACCAACAAAAAAAAAACATACAAAATTGAAAAATGAATAAAATTCAACGCACATTTTTACCGGGGAAGGAAAGTCGCGGGGAGCCAAATTTGGTTATTGAGCAGCGACACCCAAGATACGTCATCTAATATGTAGACGTCAAGAAAAGTAATGAATCGGGATCACAAACTAATAAAATATCAATAACAAATACCATTTGTTCACAAGCGTCTACCTCCAATATTAAACTTTCGCGTGTCAGTCTCGAAAGCAATTTTTTCATCGAGGAACATTGCAATTGCTGTAATTCACGACTTCGCGAGATGATCGTTCTTGGTGTGGGGGGAGGGGCTTTTGTGTTTTTTTGGACAAACTCTTCTTTACTCTTGCGCTGTAGATTGTCAGTTCAATCGGATAAAAAAAACTCGCCTATACCAGACTTTTGATTTTCTTGTGAGGTCGTATTATTTTCACATTTGATCCGAAAGGTCCACGCCACCCGTGTAAGAGTTGTTATCCATAATTGTGGGACGTGGTATTTCTTCTGAACCCGAGGCTTCTTCCCCAAACCCCCTTTCTTTTAACGATTTTCTACATTCCCGTTATCATATTCCGGGTTGTATATCGTTGATGAAAAAATACGAAGCCTAGCCGGTTCGTGTATCGTTGATAAAAATACAAAGCACTGTTGTCGACCTAGGATTGCGTTTTTATCAATTGTAAGTAAGACCCCGAAGTTACCGGGCGATACCTATCCTGCATTTCGACGTTGTGGGTCTTCCTCGGCGTCATGGAAAAGCTCAAAGCCTAGGAGCTGATGGGGTGGTACTAATTGTCCCTGAAACATGAATATATATAAAACTTTGAAGTTAGATTTCATTAAAATTTTCGAAAAAAAATAATAAAAAAAATGGTACCCACCTTCCGATTCTTCGTTAGTATCGGGTCCGGATTCCGCTTCTTTATCAGATGTCATCAAAGTTGTTCATCAAAGTTGTTATTATCAAAATCACTGTCTTGTATGACTTCTTCATCTCAATCTGCCATAACACATTGCTAGTATCAAATATCCGAGACTGCCTATCAGCCGTTATGTAATCACTTTGAGCGTCGTTGTGATAATGAATGCGCGACTTTTGATCGGGTGTTATTTTTTATTTATATAAACGGAGGTTTTTTGACGCCCCTTTCGCTTTTCTCCCTTTGGTATGTTATAGACCAGGGGTGGGCACACCGCGGCTCGCGAGCGCATGCGGCTCGCCAGACAATTTGTGCGGCTCTTCTCCCTAACTGTAAATTATTATCCAAATTTTAACTAAGAGAAAAACTTTAATGTAAACTTTTTTTATTTATTAAAAGTCGTAAAGAAGTTTTCGTCAATGATTAAGACAAATTATGTTTCAGTATGAAAATCGCTGTAGCGTTGAATTTTGAATTTAAGTCAGTCAAGTCAGCAAATCTTTCGTCACAATGGTCGATGTTTATTGATGCGTCGGCGGTCTTGCAGCTTGATTGCGGTTAGTTAGTCTAAGTTACTGTGCGATATGTCCTCAATTAAAAAACGAAAATACGAAGATGAAAACAGAGTTGTCAAGTCAGAATTGGAAGAAGAATACGTATCTACCAGTCAGGAGAATAAACCTTTGTGCTTAATCTGCCATAAGCTACTAAGTGAGAATAAAGTCAGCAATGTTAAACGACACCATGAAACGAATCATGAAAACTTCTTACGAGACTACCCTCGTAAATCAGCTATATGGAAACACAAATTAAATGAGCTCAAATTGTGCATATATTTGAGCATAGCTGCCTGGTTTATCTATTTTTGTTATTGGACTCTTGTGTGAATTTCTTTTCTGTTCATGGTATTTTGATAATATTAATAAATTCACAAATTCTACAAAATTCCCACAAAAATACAATCTTTAACCCCTGAAAGTTTCAAAGCAATTGGTCCGTTAAATAAAAAGAAAAGCGATTTTCAAGAAAAAAAGGAATACTAACAAGAACAACATAATATTTTGGATCAAGGCCGTACTTATCTTTGTAAGCCGTTTTAGAGAATAATTCTGAAACCAAATACATTTCTCTTTTTCCCTGCTTAGGACAAAATTACTTTTGCATAATAGCAACCACAACGCAATTTGCAGCTTACAGATGCCCAAGGCGCAGTTAACCTACAAAGACTTACAAAATAATGAAAGAACGTAAATAGACAATTTCAAATTATTCAATGTTTTGAGAATTTTAGTCGGCGACTTCAATATTTTTAGGATATGGAAAAGACTTCGAGAGTCCCGACAGTTCGCCGACGCTATATAAAATCGATGTTTCGTTGATACCCACGTCAAAATCGCATTTAGTTTTTCGCTCATTCACCGCGGCAACCCGTTGTTGTGATAGTCACGTGTTAGAGGGCGATTTAAAGTTTTAACTAGTACAGCGTAATAAGGAATAAGTTGCATATACTCACGTTTAGAGGAGGGGTTCTCAAACGCGGGCCAATTGCGTCCAGCGTAACGATTTAAAATGGCCCGCCGAACTTGGGTAAAATAGTTTAACGGTTAAACTTTAATCGTAAAGAAATACTAATAGATTTACCACTCTATGTTTTTACTTTTTTGCGATACTGAAAACAGACGTTTTTCAGATAAATGGCAGCGTTCTCATTTCTTTATGGAAAGGAATCAAATTTCAGAGATTTGTCTTCCTTGTCAACAAAATATACCAGTTCTGAAGTCCGACTTTATGCGCCATTATGAGAAGCATAATACTTCAAATTATGATCAGTTGACGCGCATTTTTTAAAATTTAAACTCAAACAAATAGGTTCAAAAAAATGTCAAATGAAAGTGAATCCACGTTATTGGCCAGTTATATTGTGGCCCACAACATCGCTAAAAAGAGCGCCGTTTGTTGGAGGGGAATTTTTAACGCGAATGTATGCTGCAAGTTTTGGAAGTCATTTCACCTGATATAAAAAGTAAATTTTTCAGCCTCAGCCTCAGCCTTTCTCAGCCTCAACACAATTTTGAACTTTCACAAATCAAAACTGCGGTCCAAACTGACATATAATCACTTGAATGTCTCATTGCGAATACAATGTACTGAATCAGAGCCACGTTTTGAACATGTGATGTTGATCCAACCTTACTTACACGTATATACAAAAATACGCAATTAAATTATGTTGGCATTTCGTTTTTTTTATATTTATATATATACATGAGGATGTTTTTGTGTAACAAAACAAGCCATAAGTAGCCATTTATACGAGGCCGTATGTCAGATGATCAAGTAACTTCATTAGTCACTATTAGTTGCAAATTCTTATTGAAAGTCATGCTTGTTATTCCTCCGGTATTCTATCACCAAACTATTATAATTATAAATTTCATTACATAACAAATTGCGATGCTTGGTGTATCTAAAATCAAGCTTGCAGCCTATTTTAATACTCATTTTTCAAACTTTCGCCCTTTTTGCTGCTCCCCTTTTCTGGCCCGCGAATATCCTTCTGCTTCGAATTTTGGCCCGCGGTCAATCAACTTTGGGATCCCCTGGTTTAGAGTAAGTGTCTTTTAACTAAATTAGCGGGCTGTTATTCGAGCGTTGGCGAAATTGGGGTAAGATTTAACCAATTGTATATCAAGTACTACTGCATCCGCTCCACCTCCGCTTGATTAGAACTTCTCTCAAGTAAGAAATTGATGAACCTGCATAATTTCCATCGTTTATTCTGCCAAAAAAAAGCAAATTTACCGTGCAAGGTAAATGAAAACTTAAAAGTTTGTCCGACTCAAAGACAACAGTCTGATGAATTAACCGCATTCCAGATTGAAATGCATTTTACTATTTTGATGTATCTTGCAGAGAATTGAGCAAATATTTTATTAAGCGGTAAAAACTATTCAAACTTTTATGAAAGTGTGACAAACTAGTGTCTCATAATAAAAAGTATAACTGCACTTAAGCCCGAGGAGCAGAGTTGGCACCATACAAAAGACCAAAAGCTGCTAATTTCGGAAAATTGGTTACCAAAATTATGATCAAACTTAAATGTAAATATGTAAACGAGAGAAAATGTAAATGAGATTGTATATAAGCAATCAAAGCTGTCCGACTATTTTTTTCAGAATGTTAAATCGGTCGTATTTTCATCTCCGTAACTTTGAGAGAATAATATGCTCCCTTCCAGGAAGACCATTCAACACCATCTGCGTAAGATTTGTGAACTCCGCCTTTGAAATAATAACCATTCAAATTGCTTGAATGGCATTTAAAGTACCACCATGCCCCTTTAAAAGATACAGCACAATTCCCAGAATATGAATCGTTGTCTTGATCCTTAGTCGTAAATCTTTGGCCGTTATGACCACTAAGAGAATCTCCCGCGTCTCCAGTATATCCTCCAACAGAGAGTGTATATTTCGAGTTCCGTCCTCCTATTTTAAAATGTCTGTGAAATTATTGTCATAAGATTAGACTTTGGAATACAAGGAAGTAAATCATATAAGGTAATTGAATAATTCTTACGAATATTTTGCATATTTCTTGTTTCCATCCCAATCTTCCAAATCAATACGAAGTTCGTAGTCATTATCACGCGTCAGATGATAGAGATTCTCCAGGCCTTGTTGAAGTTTAAAATAACGTTCAATGCATCAATTTTATGAATGAAATAACGATTTTGTGATATCAATTTAAGAAGTTTTGGACGCTTACCAAGCCAATATTCATCATCTTTGTTCCCAAATCCATTTACATATTCATTCCAAGTTCTATAGAAGTCCGTCGAGCCGCTCGTTCGTCGTTGAAAGACCTTTTAGAAATGTAACAAAACATTTTATAACAGTTAAAAATATTTTGTGGTAGTAAAACAACAGTAGAAACAGATAAATCAATACTAAAAGTATGTTATAAAGAGTTCAATTGTTTCCACATTAATTTACATCCTCACCATCCAACCGCCACCGTCAGTTTCAAGATCACAAAAAACTTCAAGCTTTGAGTAAGTTGGATAGATATCGAAAACACCACCGGTTTCATTCCATATTTTCGAATCATTTTTAGTAACTTTTCCGCAGTCGGAAAGAGTTAGAGGACGTAATTCTGCAATGATAATCGTAGTGTACAGAAAAATGCACAATAAATTTTTTTCAATCAATATTTTCATGCTTGGGTACATGCCACGTAAGTGGGTAGACAATTGTTTATGATGTATAATTTTACATCAGGTGAAAAACATGTATTCAATTATGCGGTCAGGATTTATCTTGAATACCTACCTTCAGCAATTCGAATCAATTCTGTAAATTTTCTTTCTATCTCAGATGTATTGTTTAACATTTTTTGTTCAATGTTGGCCATCTTGGTTACAAAACTAATCTCCATTTCTAAAAGATCAACATAACAATTATAAACTTTGTTAAAGTGTCGTTTTGTCCAATGTTCATTCATAGCTGTTGTAACTAACGTTTGGAATTCTGGAATAAATATACAGATTTCATATAAATGCATCTCCACCAAAATTAAGAAAACTAAAATGGAATGTTTATTGACATAAAACCGTTTTAATAATATAAAAAATGTGTACCACCGAATTTCTTTTGCATTTCCTCCTCTATTTTTGTATAGTTAACAACACCTGGTGATCCACGTGGTCCAGCTTTACCAACTCGTCTTGCAAGAACATGGTCTGGTCGAGAAATTGAAGGTGAGATGCTACGAACCTGCCTTGTACAATATTCATGCATTTGATAAACTTGGGAACAGAGACCATCATCAGGCATCGTATTTGTTGCTGAAATCAGACAAAACATCCGTAGTGCAAATGCACTAACCATGATGTATCGTTTGCTCCATACATAAGTCATATTGCTGAAAACTATATAATATTATTTAAGATTTAGTTACATTTTTATAATAATCAAACTTTTTTTCAATTTTTCCAAGTGTTAAGAAGACTGCTCTGAATGTAAAATCACTTGCCACCCTTATCGTTCCTTGTAAAATGTACCACAGAAAATGTACTGAGAAAATTTTTGAAAATAGGCCGAAGAAACTTACATCCTTATAATCTGATTAGACTTTTAAAATTGAAATGGCATAAACTATTGGTATTTAAGTATGACTGATTAACTAAAAATATGCATTCTAGACGCTGAAAGATTTCTTACGGACGAGCACTCCTATTAAAATTAAGATCGATTAATGCCACGAAGCAAAGTTTAGTCACGTTTCGTCTGACGGAGAACCGTAAAAACAAAGATTTAGTCTCGATTTAGAGCCATAAGAATTTTTCCTAGCAAATATCTGTGATGCAACAAAGTTAACAAACTAACTAAAGGGCCCAACATGTGAAAAAGTAAACCGATAAAGCAAAGCTTTTACATCAAAATTTTTCTTCTGAATGGCCCATTAAAATCATTTCGATACTGCTACAAAATTTTACTAGGTCGTGCTCATGAATGGTCCAAAGAAAAAAATTTAAGTATTCTAAATATTTCAAATTTGCACGTAAACATTCAAGTGCAGTTATGACCACTTTGTGGCGTCTGAAGCTGCCGCAAATGCCGCTATGGCAATGGCGGCTGACTCTTGCACTGTCACAAACATACAAAAAACAAAACTGTGAGACGCAGTACCAAGGCCAGAGGCGGATTAAGCCCCTTTGGTGCCCTAAGCACCGAATACTTGGTGCCCCCTCATGTGTAATTTAATAATAAAAACAATAAACCACCGCTTAAAAGCAGAAGAGTGTTTTTACTAAAATAAAGGAACAAAGCGTTAGAAAAAGGGTTTGAATCTTGGGATCCCAACCCCAGTTGCAATAGTTAAAAACTCAAAAACGTTCCTCCATCAGATACAAATATACGCTAAAATTGTTCGGTGAGCCGCATGGAATGTATCAGCATGACAGGGTCTGGATCACCCTGGTCTACCTTATCAACTCCCGACTCCGCTGACCACTAGATCGTTGAAATGCGATCGTGGAACCGACACATAGTGTAAATAATTCATTGGTCCAATTGTTGAAGAGAAGAGAAATATTTTTAAAACAAAAAGGCAGCAACAAGGAGAATACTAGAAAGAAAAAACAACAACAATTTAGGAAAACGGCTCATAGGCCCATTTCGTGTTTAAAAAAATGTCAGTGTTTATTTTTAATAAAGAAGGTTAATATGATACTTGAAGACAAAAAATAAGCGAACATTTTGAAATTTGAGTCGTCCGGTGAACTCGTAATATTTTAATAAACACCGATAAACTATAAATAAATTCTGCTCTAAAATTTCTATGGTGCCCCTCTTTGCTTGGTTCCCTAAGCACGTGCTTATATTGTTTAATGGTTAATCCGGCGCTGACCACGGCAGCAAAATAGAAACCATGGCGGGTAATAAAGTATGCTGCCATAAACCATGGCATGTAGTAATTCTGTGGAAGTATAAAAATTCATCTTCTTCATAGCTATTTATAGAAGAGTTCATGTGTTATTTTTTCATTTCAAGTCGTGTTGTTTGGGTCTGGTGTCTATGCTCTGTAATTTGGAACGATGAGTTAATAAAAAAAGTTATTTTGCTCAAATCTTGATCAACGTGCCCCTAGGGTACGCAAATGACCATGGTTTGTTCGTGACAGGATCTGCCATGAAGTGGTCATAACTGTGACCTTAAATATTCGAGGTTATCGATCCTTCAGATTAAATTGTGCATCCACTCCCGTTAAGTTGTAAATGTAAACTATGTATCTAAGAGCTTTAAATCAGGAAACATGAGTGCTTGCAATGAGGTTTTCGCATACCTTAATGATGTTTTTCAAAAGAAAACTATTCAAAAAAATTCACTTATAGACGTTGTAAAAACTAGACAAAAATTGAATTAATAGTGATACCATAGCGTGAGGTCTTCTGCCATATGTTGCCCACCCAGGTTCAGTCTGCAGTCTAATGCGATCTGCCCAGCAAATGGAGCGAACACCAATTCTTCCGATAGGCTTGTGTTATTTAACATCAATTGAGGTCAATTCAAGATGTCGCAGAAGGTCTAACAAAACCCCTCTTTCATATACGCTGTTTTTGAAAAGTTCAATTATCGCTTTGGTACATACACAATTAAGTGTTTATCGCTGAATAAATTGTAGCCTATAGCGCTATAGAACTAAGGCACATCCGTTAGAAATGGAAATGCAACGGTAGACCTCGCGCTGTAGCGTGGTAGTCCCCTCTTCCTCAAGTTACGTGTCTCATAAAAATGTAAATGTTTTTATTATCGTTTATTCATTGAAGGATAGCTAGAAAAAGATTACATTTATGGTCTTCTTTTCCATAGTGCAATATAATTGTTTAAAAGTGGGCTACTGTTAGACAGACGGAGAATCCCAGAAATAGTTCAAAAGCACAAGTGCAAGTCAAATATAGAAAACCTGCATCAGCTAACTGAATTAATTGGAAGTATAGTGAAAGCTGTACGACAAAACCCATGTCATATTGCCAGGCATATCGATTCCTAGACTATCGGTGAATTTCCAAAGCACGTCAATGTAAATAACTCAGCTCTTTTTGCATCTGAGAAATTAGGAAATAAATCGATTGAGCTATCTATGCCCGTCCAACCGCAAATGAGCTCTCCCAGTCAAGTAATCAGTTTTTTATATTTAAACCAACATATTGCCATTTTGGATAGTTTTGACGAATCACCATTTCTTTCGTTACACATTTGCGAATTGCAATTGGAATATCATATCTCCAATTTCCGACAAAATATTTATGTATCAGAATGGATACTAGGATATGCTCATATTACTACTGATTTAAAATACCAATACCAATTTGTACAACAACAGTTATATCACATCGGAGTTACCTTCGGCGAGTGAAAACACAGAAGAAACTTGGGTGGCACTTTGGTATGCGATCTGTATAATGTGGTATCTGTGTGTATAACGTAATCACAATCGCATAAAGACATTTACATATAATTCGGTTCCTAACCATAACCTAACAAAATCACTGAAATTTCATACCAAAGTACCACCGGAACTTATGCATCCACTTACAAGCATGTATTAATTGGCCGAAGTATATATTTAGGATTCATATCGCAGATGGGAACTGCGCGTAGAAAGGTTGGCCTTGGGGTTTCGCACCAGAGTTTAATAATTTGCAGTAAATTGCGTTACCATGCGGATTATTTGTCAATTGATTTTACTCGAGCTGGGAGTCAACAAACGCCGTATGTTTGTGATGTCGGCATGATGACATATATCTATTAATAAAAAATTTGTCGCACCGTTAAATGTTATATGCAGTGAATGGCCAATAAATATATATGTTAGGCATTTAGCATGAACATTTCGCTTTCCAGTCTGCGTTATAATATTATGATATTAGTCTGGTATCGTCATTTTCTGATTAACCGTAGATGTATTGGTAAAGTTATATATCTTTGCTGAAGGGGATTTTCAATCAATGTAGTAGTATTTCAGCGACAACAACACTGTGAAACGCCAGAGAATTTCCATTTTTTTTTAATTTCCAACATACGGGACTTTTTCCTCCACTTTCTGTTGACAAGGCGCTGTTGACAAGTTATTTATCATACAAATCAGGGTGTCTGCTGGTGCTGGTCAGTAAGTAGACTTACAGTCACATCAGTAATAGTTATTTTCCGATTTTGAACGTTGTTTAAAGTATATTACCCTTGTCGCAGATATATGTTTTGGTCAGAATGCTCATTATAACGATTGCAACAATACAGTTATTGCAATAAATGATAAGATTATAATCGACTATAATTATCTATTTGCAGCTTTCTAGATTGATTTTGAGCTTGTTTTTTCGTTGTTATTGGCACGTCATCGGAAGCATACATAATTTGAAAAATACAGACAAGCGAAAGTCTTTAGAAGTGATATTCGGTATTGAAGTTAGCATCGCTTAAATTGTCTTACATGTCGCTTATTGATCAAGCTATACTTCCAATATTTTTGAATATCGATAAGCAACCAAAGTCCAGTCGAAAGCAACCGCAGTTTTAAGAAAACTACTTGCATATATACATATATAGGAAATTTATATAGATAGTCAGTAAAAACCCGCCCGGAAATTTTCCGAAAGTTTAATAAGATTATCAATTTTATCTTATTCTATCTGTATTAGCATTGATAAATTCTCAGTTCAAAAGTCATTGCAAATATTCGACATAGCTTGTATGCGCAATAACCTAGTCTGGAGGCATGTATTGTACATCTTTGCCTTGTTAACTCTCCCTTGTTTATGATTCGAAATGCATAATTTGTATTTTGTTTTTCTTTATCAAATTTTTGCTTTTACATGTGTAGTTTCCAGCACATTACTTCTCAAGGAAACAAAAAAGACAGCATGGTTAGTTTATTTGCAATTCTGCTGTTTTATCTGATTTCAGCAACAAATTCGTTGCCTGATGATGGTCTCTGTTCCCAAGTTTATCAAATGCATGAATATTGTACAAGACAGGTTCATGGTACGTTACCTTCAAATTCGCGACCAGACCATGTTCATGCAAGACGAGTTGGTAAAGCTGGGCCACGTGGACCACCAGGTGTTGTTAACTATACAAAAATAGAAAAAGAAATGCAGAGGAAATTTGACGGTAAGCTATATATCAGTAATATGGTTTGGTTTTTACACGGTTTTGCCATTGGTTGGTATCATATTTTCGGAGACACCGAATTTTGCGTATTTAGTCCAAGTTCAAACTACCTTATGGTTCTCGGAAATATCACATTTATTTCAAAGCGCAATTGAAAAATGGGGATAATCATTGTTTTTATCGCCACAAAGCACAAATTCGTGCAGTGGGTCCATGTGCTGCATCTCGATTACTCACCTTGCTGTGGTACAGGCTTCACTTTTGAAGCGAGTTAAGTTCTAAATAATTTGTTTGTCATATAGAAATGGAGATTCGTTTTAAAACGAAGATGATCAACATTGAAGAAAAAATGTTAAACAATACATCTGAGATAGCAAAAAAATTTTCGGAATTGATTCGAGTTGCTGAAGGTTGGTATTCAAGAATAATCGCAACCATGCCATTACGATTTGTAAAAGACGTCTTAGCTTGAGTCAGCAAACTGAACACAGTCATACTTTTATGATCCCTTTCTCCCAATGGCGTCATAAATCAATTCAATTATTGTCGTTCAATTCAATATTTGGAATTTTTTAACAACGTTTCGTTACATTCAGATAACACAACTATTTTGGTTTACCACCTGGGCTTTGACTTCAGATATATATCAAAATTTTAGTCGATCGAACCAACAAAAGCAACAATAATTTCACACCGGGCCTCTAAACTGGCTTGGTATGGCAGTTATAATACCCGTTAAACATGATAATTGTCATTATCAAGTTAAATCTGAGTAAATTACAGAACTTCTTTCGGTAATATTAGCAAGTGTGTATGAAGGGTCGATAAAAGACAAAACGCGGGTTGTTTAAGCGGTTGGTGAATATTAAAAAGGTTTGTTTGTTTTACTGATGATGTATTGTAAACTTTGAATTTTAAGTTGGATCCCAATTTGATTCATATGATTCTCATAATTTGTGCTTTGATGGACGCTGTTGTATTGTCTTTATTTTTAAACTGGCATTGTTATATTGTTGATAGTTTTTTATTTTTTACTTTGATATTGAAGTCTTCAATTCTTTTAAAACAGAATTAAGACCTCTAACTTTTTCCGATTGCGGAAAAGTAACTAAAAATGATGCAAAAATGTGGAATGAAACCGGTGGAGTTTTCGATATTTATCCAACTTACACAAAGCTTGAAGTTTTCTGTGATCTAACAACTGACGGTGGTGGTTGGATGGTGAGGATAAAAAAAATTGTGTAAAATCTTGTAATATTTTATTTACTCATGTTCTATAACCACCAAATTGTTTGTATTAATACCAATATTCTTTATGACTATTATAAAATTTTGCTGCGTTCTTGAAAGATATTTCAACGACGGACAAGTGGCTCAACGGACTTTTACAGAACTTGGAATGAATACGTAAACGGATTTGGGAACAAAGCTGATGAATATTGGCTTGGTAAGTCTTAAAAATCTTTAGAAGGATGTCACAAAATAGGTATTCCATTTTTTCAATATTTGACCTATCTATAAGGCCTGAAGAATCTTCATCATCTGACACGTGATAATGACTATGAACTTCGTATTGATTTGGAAGATTGGGAAGGAAACAAGAAATATGCAAAATATTCGTAAGAATCATTTGATTACTTTTTTGATTTCCTTGATTCTAAAGTCTAACCTAAACTATTACACTAATTTTACAGCAATTTTAAAATAGGAGGACCGAAAACGAAATATACACTTGCTGTTGCAGGATACACTGGAGACGCGGGTGATTCTTTGAGTGGTCACAACGGTCTAAGATTTACGACCAAAGATCAAGACAATGATTCAAATTCTGCGAATTGTGCAGTATCTTTTAAAGGGGCATGGTGGTACTCGAGCTGTCATTCAAGCAATTTGAATGGTCATTATTTCAAAGGCGGAGTCCACAAATCTTACGCAGATGGTGTTGAATGGTCTCCTTGGAAGGGACAGTATTATTCTCTCAAAATTACAGAAATGAAAATTCGACCAATATAACAATCAATAACCCCTACAACAACAAACTTTATATTAACTTTTCGATTACCCACTACAGCAGTTTGGCATCACATAGGTAATTTTGTATAGCTTATCAGTTGATAATCTGGAATTACTTATATATTATCATTACCACTATTAGCTCTGTCGTGGCAATAAAAATATAAATTGGTTAAAACATGGACTAGTTTTTTGTTTTTGTTTTTTTTTTCTTTTCAATTTGAAAGCTATTCATCACTCTGCGTTTGTTTTCAATTTGATTGTAAATCGACCACACTGAATATATTTCATATAATATATTAAAGACAAAGGGACAATTTTTTTTTTTTGCAAAACTCAGCAAGAGCGCGATTACCTTACTAAGTCATTGAATTCGAATTTTTCGTCCGGTCTTCAGAGTTGACTTTGAAAAAATTAATGAAACAGAGGAGCAATGCTCAAATATATGGACACGAAAGCCTACGCGATCTCCGCTAATTTTTTTTGCAAAACTCAGCAATGGCGCGATTACCTTACTAAGTCATTGAATTCAAATTTTTCGTCCGGTCTTCAGAATTGACTTTAAAAAAATTAATGAAACAGAGGAGCAATGCTCAAATATATGGACACGAAAGCCTACGCGATTTCCACTAAAATTTGTCTGATCTATCAAAAGATTTAAATAATAAATTGCGAATTAAGTCCGGCCTGCGCAGCAATTCACATCGATACCAATAATATCTTTGTCTGACTGGTTACATGTGACGGCAATGTTCGTAGAAAGGGCAAAATTTTAGATAAAATATACATCGATATTCACAGTAGAACTCGGAGAAATTTTAACGATATATAATAGCAACAGCCTTCTGAGCGCCTCAGCCTTCTCTTAGTAGCCTACTGAAAATTTGTAAACAATTATAAGTTCAAAGGAAAAGGCTATTTTTTCCAACAACAAATGTCATTCAAACAACTTGGCAAATAGATAAAATATGCACATTTCGTGTCCATCTAGGATAGTGGAGTTCGGTCGTATTTGATTTTTGACCAAATATTATGGTGCTCCTCTTTGCTTGGTTCCCTAAGCACATTGTTTAATGGTTAATCCGGCGCTGACCACGGCAGCAAAATAGAAACCATGGCGGGTAATAAAGTATGCTGCCATAAACCAAGGCATGTAGTAATTCTGTGAAAGTTTAAAAATTCATCTCTTCATGGCTATTTATAGAAGAGTCCATGTGTTATTTTTCCTATTCAAGTCGTGTTGTTTGGGTCTGGTGTCTATGCTCTGTAATTTGGAACGATAAGTTAATAAAAAAAGTTATTTTGCTCAAATCTTGATTAACGTGCCCCTAGGGTACGCAAATGACCATGGTTTGTTCGTGACAGGATCTGCCATGAAGTGGTCATAACTGTGACCTTAAATATTCGAGGTTATCAATCCTTCAGATTAAATTGTGCATCCACTCCCGTTAAGTTGTAAATGTAAACTATGTATCTAAGAGCTTTAAATCAGGAAACATGAGTGCTTGCAATGAGGTTTTCGCATACCTTAATGATGTTTTTCAAAAGAAAACTATTCAAAAAAATTCACTTATAGACGTTGTAAAAACTAGACAAAAATTGAATTAATAGTGATACCATAGCGTGAGGTCTTCTGCCATATGTTGCCCACCCAGGTTCAGTCTGCAGTCTAATGCGATCTGCCCAGCAAATGGAGCGAACACCAATTCTTCCGATAGGCTTGTGTTATTTAACATCAATTGAGGTCAATTCAAGATGTCGCAGAAGGTCTAACAAAACCCCTCTTTCATATACGCTGTTTTTGAAAAGTTCAATTATCGCTTTGGTACATACACAATTAAGTGTTTATCGCTGAATAAATTGTAGCCTATAGCGCTATAGAACTAAGGCACATCCGTTAGAAATGGAAATGCAACGGTAGACCTCGCGCTGTAGCGTGGTAGTCCCCTCTTCCTCAAGTTACGTGTCTCATAAAAATGTAAATGTTTTTATTATCGTTTATTCATTGAAGGATAGCTAGAAAAAGATTACATTTATGGTCTTCTTTTCCATAGTGCAATATAATTGTTTAAAAGTGGGCTACTGTTAGACAGACGGGAATCCCAAGAAATAGTTCAAAAGCACAAGTGCAAGTCAAATATAGAAAACCTGCATCAGCTAACTGAATTAATTGGAAGTATAGTGAAAGCTGTACGACAAAACCCATGTCATATTGCCAGGCATATCGATTCCTAGACTATCGGTGAATTTCCAAAGCACGTCAATGTAAATAACTCAGCTCTTTTTGCATCTGAGAAATTAGGAAATAAATCGATTGAGCTATCTATGCCCGTCCAACCGCAAATGAGCTCTCCCAGTCAAGTAATCAGTTTTTTATATTTAAACCAACATATTGCCATTTTGGATAGTTTTGACGAATCACCATTTCTTTCGTTACACATTTGCGAATTGCAATTGGAATATCATATCTCCAATTTCCGACAAAATATTTATGTATCAGAATGGATACTAGGATATGCTCATATTACTACTGATTTAAAATACCAATACCAATTTGTACAACAACAGTTATATCACATCGGAGTTACCTTCGGCGAGTGAAAACACAGAAGAAACTTGGGTGGCACTTTGGTATGCGATCTGTATAATGTGGTATCTGTGTGTATAACGTAATCACAATCGCATAAAGACATTTACATATAATTCGGTTCCTAACCATAACCTAACAAAATCACTGAAATTTCATACCAAAGTACCACCGGAACTTATGCATCCACTTACAAGCATGTATTAATTGGCCGAAGTATATATTTAGGATTCATATCGCAGATGGGAACTGCGCGTAGAAAGGTTGGCCTTGGGGTTTCGCACCAGAGTTTAATAATTTGCAGTAAATTGCGTTACCATGCGGATTATTTGTCAATTGATTTTACTCGAGCTGGGAGTCAACAAACGCCGTATGTTTGTGATGTCGGCATGATGACATATATCTATTAATAAAAAATTTGTCGCACCGTTAAATGTTATATGCAGTGAATGGCCAATAAATATATATGTTAGGCATTTAGCATGAACATTTCGCTTTCCAGTCTGCGTTATAATATTATGATATTAGTCTGGTATCGTCATTTCTGATTAACCGTAGATGTATTGGTAAAGTTATATATCTTTGCTGAAGGGGATTTTCAATCAATGTAGTAGTATTTCAGCGACAACAACACTGTGAAACGCCAGAGAATTTCCATTTTTTTTTAATTTCCAACATACGGGACTTTTTCCTCCACTTTCTGTTGACAAGGCGCTGTTGACAAGTTATTTATCATACAAATCAGGGTGTCTGCTGGTGCTGGTCAGTAAGTAGACTTACAGTCACATCAGTAATAGTTATTTTCCGATTTTGAACGTTGTTTAAAGTATATTACCCTTGTCGCAGATATATGTTTTGGTCAGAATGCTCATTATAACGATTGCAACAATACAGTTATTGCAATAAATGATAAGATTATAATCGACTATAATTATCTATTTGCAGCTTTCTAGATTGATTTTGAGCTTGTTTTTTTCGTTGTTATTGGCACGTCATCGGAAGCATACATAATTGAAAAATACAGACAAGCGAAAGTCTTTAGAAGTGATATTCGGTATTGAAGTTAGCATCGCTTAAATTGTCTTACATGTCGCTTATTGATCAAGCTATACTTCCAATATTTTTGAATATCGATAAGCAACCAAAGTCCAGTCGAAAGCAACCGCAGTTTTAAGAAAACTACTTGCATATATACATATATAGGAAATTTATATAGATAGTCAGTAAAAACCCGCCCGGAAATTTTCCCGAAAGTTTAATAAGATTATCAATTTTATCTTATTCTATCTGTATTAGCATTGATAAATTCTCAGTTCAAAAGTCATTGCAAATATTCGACATAGCTTGTATGCGCAATAACCTAGTCTGGAGGCATGTATTGTACATCTTTGCCTTGTTAACTCTCCCTTGTTTATGATTCGAAATGCATAATTTGTATTTTGTTTTTCTTTATCAAATTTTTGCTTTACATGTGTAGTTTCCAGCACATTACTTCTCAAGGAAACAAAAAAGACAGCATGGTTAGTTTATTTGCAATTCTGCTGTTTTATCTGATTTCAGCAACAAATTCGTTGCCTGATGATGGTCTCTGTTCCCAAGTTTATCAAATGCATGAATATTGTACAAGACAGGTTCATGGTACGTTACCTTCAAATTCGCGACCAGACCATGTTCATGCAAGACGAGTTGGTAAAGCTGGGCCACGTGGACCACAAGGTGTTGTTAACTATACAAAAATAGAAAAGAAATGCAGAGGAAATTTGACGGTAAGCTATATATCAGTAATATGGTTTGGTTTTTACACGGTTTTGCCATTGGTTGGTATCATATTTTCGGAGACACCGAATTTTGCATATTTAGTCCAAGTTCAAACTACCTTATGATTCTCGGAAATATCCCATTTATATCAAAGCGCAATTGAAAAATGGAGATAATCATTGTTTTTATCGCCACAAAGCACAAATTCGTGCAGTGGGTCCATGTGCAGCATCTCGATTACTCACCTTGCTGTGGTACAGGCTTCACTTTTGAAGCGAGTTAGGTTCTAAACAATTTGTTTGTCATATAGAAATGGAGATTCGTTTTAAAACGAAGATGATCAACATTGAAGAAAAAATGTTAAACAATACATCTGAGATAGAAAGAAAATTTTCGGAATTGATTCGAGTTGCTGAAGGTTGGTATTCAAGAATAATCGTAGCCATGCCATTACGGTTTGTAAAAGACGTCTTAGCTTGAGTCAGCAAACTGAACACAGTCATACTTTTATGATCCCTTTCTCCCAATGGCCTCATAAATCAATTCAACTATTGTCGTTCCATTCAATATTTGGATTTTTTTAACAACGTTTCGTTACATTCAGATAACACAACTATTTTGTTTACCACCTGAGCTTTGAATTCAGATATATATCAAAATTTTAGTCGATCGAACCAACAAAAAGCAACAATAATTTCACACCGGGCCTCTAAACTGGCTTGGTATGGCAGTTATAATACCCGTTAAACATGATAATTGTCATTATCAATTTAAATCTGAGTAAATTACAGAACTTCTTTCGGTAATATTAGCAAGTGTGTATGAAGGGTAGATAAAAGACAAAACGCGGGTTGTTCAAGCGGTTGGTGAATATTAAAAAGGTTTGTTTGTTTTACTGATGATGTATTGTAAACCTTGAATTTAAGTTGGATTTCATTCATATGATTCTCATAATTCGTGCTTTGATGGACGCTGTTGTATTGTCTTAATTTTTAAACTGGCATTGTTATATTGTTGATAGTTTTTTTTTTTTACTTTGATATTGAAGTCTTCAATTCTTTTAAAACAGAATTAAGAACTCTAACTTTTTCCGATTGCGGAAAAGTAACTAAAAATTATGCAAAAATATGGAATGAAACCGGTGGAGTTTTCGATATTTATCCAACTTACACAAAGCTTGAAGTTTTCTGTGATCTAACAACTGACGGTGGTGGTTGGATGGTGAGGATAAAAAAATTGTGTAAAATCTTGTAATATTTTATTTACTCATGTTCTATAACCACCAAATTGCTTGTACTAATACCAATATTCTTTATGACTATTATAAAATTTTGCTGCGTTCTTGAAAGATATTTCAACGACGGACAAGTGGCTCAACGGACTTTTACAGAACTTGGAATGAATACGTAAACGGATTTGGGAACAAAGCTGATGAATATTGGCTTGGTAATCTTTAGAAGGATGTCACAAAAGAGTTATTCCATTTTTTCAATATTTGACCTATCTATAAGGCCTGAGAAATCTTCATCATCTGACACGTGATAATGACTATGAACTTCGTATTGATTTGGAAGATTGGGAAGGAAACAAGAAATATGCGAAATATTCGTATGAATCATTTGATTACTTTTTTGAGTTCCTTTATTCTAAAGTCTAACCTAAACTATTACATTAATTTTAAAGCAATTTTAAAATAGGAGGACCGAAAACGAAATATACACTTGCTGTTGCAGGATACGCTGGAGACGCGGGTGATTCTTTGACTGGTCATAACGGTCAAAGATTTACGACCAAGGATCAAGACAATGATTCGTATTCTGAAAATTGTGCAGTATCTTATAAAGGGGCATGGTGGTACTCGAGCTGTCATTTAAGCAATTTGAATGGTCATTATTTCAAAGGCGGAGTCCACAAATCTTACGCAGATGGTGTTGAATGGTCTCCTTGGAAGGGACAGTATTATTCTCTCAAAATTACAGAGATGAAAATTCGACCAATATAACAATCCATAACCCCTATAACAACAAACTTTGTATTAACTTTTCGATTACTCACTACAGCAGTTTGGCATCACATAGGTAATTTTGTATAGCTTATCAGTTGTAATCTGAATTACTTATATATTATCATTACCACTATTACTCTGTCGTGGCAATAAAAATATAAATTGGTTAAAACATGGACTATTTTTGTTTTTTGTTTTTTTTTTCTTTTCAATTTGAAAGCTATTCATCACTCTGCGTTTGTTTTCAATTTGATTGTAAATCGACCACACTGAATTATATTTCATATAATATATTAAGACAAAGGGACAATTTTTTTTTTTTGCAAAACTCAGCAAGAGCGCGATTACCTTACTAAGTCATTGAATTCGAATTTTTCGCCGTCTTCAGAGTTGACTTTGAAAAAATTAATGAAACAGAGGAGCATGCTCAAATATATGGGCGGCGATTGCCTTACTAAGTCATTGAATTCAAATTTTCGTCCGGTCTCCAGAGTTGACTTTAAAAAAATTTATTGAAACAGAGGAGCAATGCTCAAATATATGGACACGAAAGCGTACGCAATTTCCGCAAAATTTGTCTGATCTATCAAAAGTTTTAAATAATAAATTGCGAATTAAGTCGGCCTGCGCAGCAATTCACATCGATACCAATAATATCTTTTGTCTGACTGGTTCCATGTGACGGCAATGTTCGTAGAAAGGGCAAAATTTTAGATAAAATATACATCGCATTCACAGTAGAACTCGAAGAAATTTTAACGATATATAATAGCAACAGCCTCCTGAGCGCCTCAGCCTTCTCTTAGTAGCCTACTGAAAATTGTAAACGATATCACGTTCAAAGGAAAAGGCTATTTTTTCCAACAACAAATGTCATTCAAACAACTTGGCAAATAGATAAAATATGCACATTTCGTGTCCATCTAGGATAGTGGAGTTCGGTCGTATTTGATTTTTGACCAAATATTATGGTGCTCCTCTTTGCTTGGTTCCCTAAGCACATTGTTTAATGGTTAATCCGGCGCTGACCACGGCAGCAAAATAGAAACCATGGCGGGTAATAAAGTATGCTGCCATAAACCAAGGCATGTAGTAATTCTGTGAAAGTTTAAAAATTCATCTCTTTCATGGCTATTTATAGAAGAGTCCATGTGTTATTTTTCCTATTCAAGTCGTGTTGTTTGGGTCTGGTGTCTATGCTCTGTAATTTGGAACGATAAGTTAATAAAAAAAGTTATTTTGCTCAAATCTTGATTAACGTGCCCCTAGGGTACGCAAATGACCATGGTTTATTCGTGACAGGATCTGCCATGAAGTGGTCATAACTGTGACCTTAAATATTCGAGGTTATCAATCCTTAACTCAGATTAAATTGTGGCATCCACTCCCGTTAAGTTGTAAATGTAAACTATGTATCTAATAGCTTTTAAATCAGGAAACATGCGTGCTTGCAAGGAGGTTTCGCATACCTTTATGAAATTTTTCAAAAGAAAACTATTTCAAAAACTATGACCAAAAATTGAATTAATAGTGATACCATAGCGTGAGGTCTTCTGCCATATGTTGCCCACCCAGGTTCAGTCTGCGGTCTCATGCGATCTGCCCAGCAAATGGAGCGAACACCAACTCTTCCTATAGGCTTGTGTTATTTAACATCAATTGAGGTCAATTCAAGATGTCGCAGAAGGTCTAACAAAACCCCTCTGTCATATACGCTGTTTTTGAAAAGTTTAATTATCGCTTTGGTACATACACAAATTAAGTGTTTATCGCTGAATAAATAGTAGCCTATAGCGCTATAGAACTAAGGCACATCCGTTAGAAATGGAAATGCAACGGTAGACCTCGCGCTGTAGCGTGGTAGACCCCTCTTCCTCAAGTTACGTGCCTCATAAAAATGTAAATGTTTTTATCATCGTTTATTTATTGAAGGATAGCTAGAAAAAGATTACATTTATAGTCTTGCTTTCCATAGTACAATATAATTGTTTCAAAAGTGGGCTACTGTTAGACAGACGAAGAAATCCCAGAAATAGTTCAAAAGCACAAGTGCAAGTCGAATATAGAAAACCTGCATCAGCTAACTGAATTAATTGGAAGTATAGTGAAAGCTGTACGACAAAACCCAAGTGATATTAGCCAGGCATATCGATTCCTAGACTATCGGTGAATTTCCAAAGCACATCAATGTAAATAACTCAGCTCTTTTTGCATCTGAGACATTAGGAAATAAATCGATTGAGCTATGCCCGTCCAACGCAAATGAGCTCTCCCAGTCAAGTAATCAGTTTTTATATTAAAACCAACACTTTTTCCATTTAGGATAGTTTTGAGGAATCACCATTTCTTTCGTTACACATTTGCGAAGTGCAATGGGTATCATATCTCCAATTTCCGACAAAATATTTCAGTAATCAGAATGGATACTAGGAATATGCTTCATATTATTTGTTTACAATACCAATACATTGTGAATATATCGCATCGGAGTTACCTTCGGAGATGTGAAAACACAGAAGAAACTTGGGTGGCACTTTGGTTATGCATCTGTATAATGTGGTATCTGTGTGTATAACGTAATCACAATCGCATAAAGACATTTACATATAATTCGGGTTCCTAACCAAACTAACAAAATCACTGAAATTTCATACCAAAGTACCACCGGGAACTTATGCATCCACTTACAAGCATGTATTAATTGGCCGAAGTATATATTTAGGATTCATATCGCAGATGGGAACTGCGCGTAGAAAAGGGTTGGCCTTGGGGGTTTCGCCACAGAGTTTAATAATTTGCAGTAAATTGCGTTACCATGCGGATTATTTGTCAATTTGATTTTACTCGAGCTGGGAGTCAACAAACGCCGTATGTTTGTGATGTCGGCATGATGACATATATCTATTAATAAAAAATTTGTCGCACCGTTAAATGTTATATGCAGTGAATGGCCAATAAATATATATGTTAGGCATTTAGCATGAACATTTCGCTTCCAGTCTGCGTTATAATATTATGATATTAGTCTGGTATCGTCATTTTCTGATTAACCGTAGATGTATTGGTAAAGTTATATATCTTTGCTGAAGGGGATTTTCAATCAATGTAGTAGTATTTTCAGCGACAACAACACTGTGAAACGCCAGAGAATTTCCATTTTTTTTTAATTTCCAACATACGGGACTTTTTCCTCCACTTTCTGTTGACAAGGCGCTGTTGACAAAGTTATTTATCATACAAATCAGGGTGTCTGCTGGTGCTGGTCAGTAAGTAGACTTACAGTCACATCAGTAATAGTTATTTTCCGATTTTGAACGTTGTTTAAAGTATATTACCCTTGTCGCAGATATATGTTTTGGTCAGAATGCTCATTATAACGATGCAACAATACAGTTATTGCAATAAATGATAAGATTATAATCGACTATAATTATCTATTTGCAGCTTTCTAGATTGATTTTGAGCTTGTTTTTTCGTTGTTATTGGCACGTCATCGGAAGCATACATAATTTGAAAAATACAGACAAGCGAAAGTCTTTAGAAGTGATATTCGGTATTGAAGTTAGCATCGCTTAAATTGTCTTACATGTCGCTTATTGATCAAGCTATACTTCCAATATTTTTGAATATCGATAAGCAACCAAAGTCCAGTCGAAAGCAACCGCAGTTTTAAGAAAACTACTTGCATATATACATATATAGGAAATTTATATAGATAGTTCAGTAAAAACCCGCCCGGAAATTTTCCGAAAGTTTAATAAGATTATCAATTTTATCTTATTCTATCTGTATTAGCATTGATAAATTCTCAGTTCAAAAGTCATTGCAAATATTCGACATAGCTTGTATGCGCAATAACCTAGTCTGGAGGCATGTATTGTACATCTTTGCCTTGTTAACTCTCCCTTGTTTATGATTCGAAATGCATAATTTGTATTTTGTTTTTCTTTATCAAATTTTTTGCTTTTACATGTGTAGTTTCCAGCACATTACTTCTCAAGGAAACAAAAAAGACAGCATGGTTAGTTTATTTGCAATTCTGCTGTTTTATCTGATTTCAGCAACAAATTCGTTGCCTGATGATGGTCTCTGTTCCCAAGTTTATCAAATGCATGAATATTGTACAAGACAGTTCATGGTACGTTACCTTCAAATTCGCGACCAGACCATGTTCATGCAAGACGAGTTGGTAAAGCTGGGCCACGTGGACCACCAGGTGTTGTTAACTATACAAAAATAGAAAAGAAATGCAGAGGAAATTTGACGGTAAGCTATATATCAGTAATATGGTTTGGTTTTTACACGGTTTTGCCATTGGTTGGTATCATATTTTTCGGAGACACCGAATTTTGCGTATTTAGTCCAAGTTCAAACTACCTTATGGTTCTCGGAAATATCACATTTATTTCAAAGCGCAATTGAAAAATGGGGATAATCATTGTTTTTATCGCCACAAAGCACAAATTCGTGCAGTGGGTCCATGTGCTGCATCTCGATTACTCACCTTGCTGTGGTACAGGCTTCACTTTTGAAGCGAGTTAAGTTCTAAATAATTTGTTTGTCATATAGAAATGGAGATTCGTTTTAAAACGAAGATGATCAACATTGAAGAAAAAATGTTAAACAATACATCTGAGATAGCAAAAAATTTTCGGAATTGATTCGAGTTGCTGAAGGTTGGTATTCAAGAATAATCGCAACCATGCCATTACGATTTGTAAAAGACGTCTTAGCTTGAGTCAGCAAACTGAACACAGTCATACTTTTATGATCCCTTTCTCCCAATGGCGTCATAAATCAATTCAATTATTGTCGTTCAATTCAATATTTGGAATTTTTTAACAACGTTTCGTTACATTCAGATAACACAACTATTTTGGTTTACCACCTGGGCTTTGACTTCAGATATATATCAAAATTTTAGTCGATCGAACCAACAAAAGCAACAATAATTTCACACCGGGCCTCTAAACTGGCTTGGTATGGCAGTTATAATACCCGTTAAACATGATAATTGTCATTATCAAGTTAAATCTGAGTAAATTACAGAACTTCTTTCGGTAATATTAGCAAGTGTGTATGAAGGGTCGATAAAAGACAAAACGCGGGTTGTTTAAGCGGTTGGTGAATATTAAAAAGGTTTGTTTGTTTTACTGATGATGTATTGTAAACTTTGAATTTTAAGTTGGATCCCAATTTGATTCATATGATTCTCATAATTTGTGCTTTGATGGACGCTGTTGTATTGTCTTTATTTTTAAACTGGCATTGTTATATTGTTGATAGTTTTTTATTTTTTACTTTGATATTGAAGTCTTCAATTCTTTTAAAACAGAATTAAGACCTCTAACTTTTTCCGATTGCGGAAAAGTAACTAAAAATGATGCAAAAATGTGGAATGAAACCGGTGGAGTTTTCGATATTTATCCAACTTACACAAAGCTTGAAGTTTTCTGTGATCTAACAACTGACGGTGGTGGTTGGATGGTGAGGATAAAAAAAATTGTGTAAAATCTTGTAATATTTTATTTACTCATGTTCTATAACCACCAAATTGTTTGTATTAATACCAATATTCTTTATGACTATTATAAAATTTTGCTGCGTTCTTGAAAGATATTTCAACGACGGACAAGTGGCTCAACGGACTTTTACAGAACTTGGAATGAATACGTAAACGGATTTGGGAACAAAGCTGATGAATATTGGCTTGGTAAGTCTTAAAAATCTTTAGAAGGATGTCACAAAATAGGTATTCCATTTTTTCAATATTTGACCTATCTATAAGGCCTGAAGAATCTTCATCATCTGACACGTGATAATGACTATGAACTTCGTATTGATTTGGAAGATTGGGAAGGAAACAAGAAATATGCAAAATATTCGTAAGAATCATTTGATTACTTTTTTGATTTCCTTGATTCTAAAGTCTAACCTAAACTATTACACTAATTTTACAGCAATTTTAAAATAGGAGGACCGAAAACGAAATATACACTTGCTGTTGCAGGATACACTGGAGACGCGGGTGATTCTTTGAGTGGTCACAACGGTCTAAGATTTACGACCAAAGATCAAGACAATGATTCAAATTCTGCGAATTGTGCAGTATCTTTTAAAGGGGCATGGTGGTACTCGAGCTGTCATTCAAGCAATTTGAATGGTCATTATTTCAAAGGCGGAGTCCACAAATCTTACGCAGATGGTGTTGAATGGTCTCCTTGGAAGGGACAGTATTATTCTCTCAAAATTACAGAAATGAAAATTCGACCAATATAACAATCAATAACCCCTACAACAACAAACTTTATATTAACTTTTCGATTACCCACTACAGCAGTTTGGCATCACATAGGTAATTTTGTATAGCTTATCAGTTGATAATCTGGAATTACTTATATATTATCATTACCACTATTAGCTCTGTCGTGGCAATAAAAATATAAATTGGTTAAAACATGGACTAGTTTTTTGTTTTTGTTTTTTTTTTCTTTTCAATTTGAAAGCTATTCATCACTCTGCGTTTGTTTTCAATTTGATTGTAAATCGACCACACTGAATATATTTCATATAATATATTAAAGACAAAGGGACAATTTTTTTTTTTTTGCAAAACTCAGCAAGAGCGCGATTACCTTACTAAGTCATTGAATTCGAATTTTTCGTCCGGTCTTCAGAGTTGACTTTGAAAAAATTAATGAAACAGAGGAGCAATGCTCAAATATATGGACACGAAAGCCTACGCGATCTCCGCTAATTTTTTTTGCAAAACTCAGCAATGGCGCGATTACCTTACTAAGTCATTGAATTCAAATTTTTCGTCCGGTCTTCAGAATTGACTTTAAAAAAATTAATGAAACAGAGGAGCAATGCTCAAATATATGGACACGAAAGCCTACGCGATTTCCACTAAAATTTGTCTGATCTATCAAAAGATTTAAATAATAAATTGCGAATTAAGTCCGGCCTGCGCAGCAATTCACATCGATACCAATAATATCTTTGTCTGACTGGTTACATGTGACGGCAATGTTCGTAGAAAGGGCAAAATTTTAGATAAAATATACATCGATATTCACAGTAGAACTCGGAGAAATTTTAACGATATATAATAGCAACAGCCTTCTGAGCGCCTCAGCCTTCTCTTAGTAGCCTACTGAAAATTTGTAAACAATTATAAGTTCAAAGGAAAAGGCTATTTTTTCCAACAACAAATGTCATTCAAACAACTTGGCAAATAGATAAAATATGCACATTTCGTGTCCATCTAGGATAGTGGAGTTCGGTCGTATTTGATTTTTGACCAAATATTATGGTGCTCCTCTTTGCTTGGTTCCCTAAGCACATTGTTTAATGGTTAATCCGGCGCTGACCACGGCAGCAAAATAGAAACCATGGCGGGTAATAAAGTATGCTGCCATAAACCAAGGCATGTAGTAATTCTGTGAAAGTTTAAAAATTCATCTCTTCATGGCTATTTATAGAAGAGTCCATGTGTTATTTTTCCTATTCAAGTCGTGTTGTTTGGGTCTGGTGTCTATGCTCTGTAATTTGGAACGATAAGTTAATAAAAAAAGTTATTTTGCTCAAATCTTGATTAACGTGCCCCTAGGGTACGCAAATGACCATGGTTTGTTCGTGACAGGATCTGCCATGAAGTGGTCATAACTGTGACCTTAAATATTCGAGGTTATCAATCCTTCAGATTAAATTGTGCATCCACTCCCGTTAAGTTGTAAATGTAAACTATGTATCTAAGAGCTTTAAATCAGGAAACATGCGTGCTTGCAATGAGGTTTTCGCATACCTTCATGATGTTTTTCAAAAGAAAACTATTCAAAAAAAGTCACTTATAAACGTCGTAAAAACTAGACAAAAATTGAATTAATAGTGATACCATAGCGTGAGGTCTTCTGCCATATGTTGCCTACCCAGGTTCAGTCTGCGGTCTAATGCGATCTGCCCAGCAAATGGAGCGAACACCAATTCTTCCTATAGGCTTGTGTTATTTAACATCAATTGAGGTCAATTCAAGATGTCGCAGAAGGTCTAACAAAACCCCTCTGTCATATACGCTGTTTTTGAAAAGTTCAATTATCGCTTTGGTACATACACAAATTAAGTGTTTATCGCTGAATAAATTGTAGCCTATAGCGCTATAGAACTAAGGCACATCCGTTAGAAATGGAAATGCAACGGTAGACCTCGCGCTGTAGCGTGGTAGACCCCCTCTACCTCAAGTTACGTGTCTCGTAAAAATGTAAATGTTTTTATTATCGTTTATTCATTGAAGAATAGCTAGAAAAAGATTACATTTATGGTCTTCTTTTCCATAGTGCAATATAATTGTTTAAAAGTGGGCTACTGTTAGACAGACGGAGAGTCCCAGAAATAGTTCAAAAGCACAAGTGCAAGTCAAATATAGAAAACCTGCATCAGCTAACTGAATTAATTGGAAGTATAGTGAAAGCTGCACGACAAAACCCATGGCATATCGATTCCTAGACCATCGGTGAATTTCCAAAGCACGTCAATGTAAATAACTCACCTCTTTTCGCATCTGAGAAATTAGGAAATAAATCGATTGAGCTATGCCCGTCCAACCGCAAATGAGCTCTCCCAGTCAAGTAATCAGTTTGTTATATTTAAACCAACATATTTCCATTTTGGATAGTTTTGAGGAATCACCATTTCTTTCGTTACACATTTGCGAATTGCAATTGGGATATCATATCTCGAATTTCCGACAAAATATTTATGTATCAGAATGGATACTAAGATATGCTCATATTACTACTGATGTAAAATACCAATACCAATTTGTACAACAACAGTTATATCACATCGGAGTTACCTCCGGCGAGTGATAACACAAAAAAAAATTGGGTGGCACTTTGGTATGCGATCTGTATAATGTGGTATCTGTGTGTATAACGTGATCACAATCGCATAAAGACATTTACATATAATTCGGTTCCTAACCATAACCTAACAAAATCATTGAAATTTCATACCAAAGTAGCACCGGAACTTCTGATCTAACAACTGACGATGGTGGTTGGATGGTGAAAATAAAAAAATTGTGCATAATTTTGTAACACTCTATTCACCTTTGTTCCATAACCACCGAATTGATTGTATTAATACCAATATTCTTTATGACTATTATAAAATGTTCCTGCGTTCTTGAAAGATATTTCAACGACGGACAAGTGGCTCAACGGACTTCTACAGAACTTGAAATGAATACGTAAATGGATTTGGGAACAAAGCTGATGAATATTGGCTTGGTAAGTTTCAAAAATCTTCAGCATAATGACACAATTATTTATTCTCTTTTTTTCAATATTTGACCTATCTAAAAGGCCTGGAGAATCTTCATCACCTGACACGTTATAATGACTATGAACTTCGTATTGATTTGGAAGATTGGGAAGGAAACAAGAAATATGCAAAATATTCGTAAAATTCATTTGATTACTTTTTTGATTTACTTAATTTCAAAATCTAACCTATGACATTAATTTTACAGCAATTTCAAAGTAGGAGGACCGAAAACGAAATATACACTTGCCGTTGGAGGATACACTGGAGACGCGGGTGATTCTTTGAGTGTTCATAACGGTCGAAGATTTACGACTAAGGATCAAGACAATGATTCATATTCTGGGAATTGTGCAGTGTCTTTTAAAGGGGCATGGTGGTACTCAGGCTGCCATTCAAGCAACTTGAATGGTCATTATTTCAAAGGAGGAGTCCGCAATTCTTACGCAGATGGTGTTGAATGGTCTCCTTGGAAGGGACAGTATTATTCTCTTAAAGTTACGGAAATGAAAATTCGACCAATATAACAATCCATAACGACTACAATAACAGACTTTATATGAACTTTTCGATTAGATTACTATTTCGATTACTTACTACAGCAATTCGGCATCTCATCAAATAGGTATATTCGTAAAACATTATCAGTTGATCCTCTTGAATTACATGTATATTACATTACTAATCGTAGCTCTGTCATGGTAAAAAAAATATAAATTGGGTAAAACATGGACTAGCTATCCATCCAGCTGTGTTCCTTTTCAATTTGATTGTAAATCGACCACACTGAATTTATTTCATATAATAAATTAAAGACAAAGGGGCCAATTTTTCTGCAAAACTCAGCAATGGCGCGATCAACTTACTAAGTCATTGAATTTAAATTGTTCGTCTGTATATAACTCGGTCTTCAGCATTGACTTTGAAAAATTAATGAAACAGAGGAGCAATGCTCAAATATTAGGACATGAAAGCCTACGCGATTTCCGCTAAAATCTGTCGGATCTATCAAAAGCTCTAAATAAAAATTGGCAAATTAAGTCCGGCCTGCGCAGAAATTCACATCGATACCGATAATATCTTTGTTTGACTGGTTACATGTGACGGCAATGTTTGTAGAAATCGCAAAATATCAAATGAAATATCGACATTCTCAGTAGAACTCGGAGAAAATATGAAGATATAATAGCAATCGTCATTTTGGCCCTCAAGCCTTCTTTTAGTAGCCTACTGGCAATTTGAAAACGATTAACAGTTTAGGAAAAAAGCTCACATTTCGTGTCCATCTAGGATTATGGAGTTCGTTTGTATTTGATTTTCGACCAAATATATATCAGTTGGTTTTGGTGTCGCGACCTGAGCCGTCCAACTTTATACACAACTACGTTGTTAGGGGATCTCTTTTTGACAATATTTTGATATATTTAACTTCATTTCACAGTAAATATCATAAGCATAAATATCAGACATGTCCTGAACTTTTGTGTATAAAATGTTCAACATAGAAGTAAATATTATCAATTCCTCGACTGTCTGTCTCACTAACGCACAAATGCCTAAATTTTGCAAATGGCCGTGGGTTTAAATGACCGTGGGTGCAAATTGTAGGAGGGTGCTGAACGTAACATAGGTTTGAATCTACGTGAATGCGAAGAGTCCAGTAATCTTGCACTCATCCCCATGGGGTTCGAACATGCGAACACACAAAGGGTAATCAGATATGTTAGGAGCATTTATTCATAACGCTTAGCACGATGCGTCAATCTCTAAGTCGATAAGCACAGATCACAGAGTAACATAAAAAAAGAAACTGAAGATAGTAGTTTGAAGGATATATTTGCCAAACATATTTAAATCAGTCAAATCACGTTTCACGTAGCTCCCAGTTTTCAATATATTTTTCCATCGATAAAGGTAGTGTAGTCTAGTTATATGTAGCCTATATATGAATAATGGGATTTTCATATTCATCCCGGGATAATACTATGGTTGAACATTTCAAATATTTCCATGATTATATGATTCAAGACATTTGTTTACAATTGTGTGTGCTTACGTGCTCTACAATGATTATAATTATAAGTATATTTCGAACGCTTACTTCACAGATTTTCCAATTGCATTGCAGCGTTTGTGTATTTATTTCACTAGTGTTTTTGTATATCAATGCTAGGTAGCCAACCGGCGTGCATTCCTTGAACATGATATTTTTATTGTGGTACGATTGTGAACATTTCCCCTGTTACACGAAAAAATTAATAAAAATCATTTTTAACGGTTTCGCGACCTATCTCGTGCTACGCGAAAGTCGAAAGTTATTTGACCGTACCGTACAGTAGGCTAACTAAGGCACTGTATAAGCTATAAGGTAAGGTCATTGGGGTGTATAACAGTAGGAAAGGTAGTCCACTACTTCACCGCACCACTGGATAATTATAATACCCCGAGTATGGCTTAACTAAAACGAGTATGGGCTGGCGTCACACGAGTGTAGGTTAGCATCACGCAAATGTGGGACTGGCGTTATGGCAATGTCAGGGCAACCCTAAACGTATACAAACTACTAAGTTGCATAAGTCTATGTGTAAATCAGCACCAGAACTTTTGAGAGTCCGGCAATTGTCATTAAAGAGACAACCTTAAGTCATAAAATTGGTCATATCTTCCCAAGTGAGTTCATTAGGCCCTCTTCTCAAAAATGAATATATATATATAGGAATTTCCTTCATTTGGTATACGAAAATATTGACAAAAAATTACGTGTATTTTATATTGCTGAAGCAACATGATGGATTTTGGTATTTCAAATATTCACCAATAAGATGCTAATAGGTAGGCATGCATCATCAACTATTTATAATTATTTGGTACTCCTGAAGTATGCGCACCAAAATGTCGCATAACCTGAACCCTAACCTGGTACAGTGGTACACAACCGGATTTCAAGTTGTGCGCCATCTTGGTGCGCATACTTTAGGAGGTCCAATTATTTTATCATTGGCACGAATATGATCAATTTAGCAATGTTATTCATGACAGAGTCTTGACTAAAATAAATTTATTAACATTTTTTACGTGTTCTTTTAACTTTGGTCAGAAAAATCTTCAACCATTATACTATGTTCTCCGGTAGGCCGTCATTGCGAGGCTAGAAAAGACGATGTCGTTTTAGGTTGGTTTTTATGGATAATACATCATAATTTAACGCACTGTTTATAATTTCATCCACTTCTTCCTTTTAGGGTTCAGCTTATTAGTGACTTCAGTTACCCTACCATTTGTCGAAAGAAATTTCATCCACTTCTTCCTTTTCAAGGTTCAGCCTTTCAGTGACTTCCGCCACCCTGCCATTCGTCGGAATAAATTTCTTCCACGTCTTCTTTTTAGGGTTCGGTATTTTTGTGACTTCTACCCCTCCCCATTCGTAGGAAGAAATTCTATCCAATCCTTCCTTTTAGGGTTCGGCTTTTTAGTGACTTCAATCATCCCATCTACCTACAAATTTTTTTATCCACCTCCTCCTCTTAGTTTTCCGTCTTTGAGTGTTTTATAATTTTTCCTTATGGGAACACTCCGGCTTTCGGATTTCATCCGTTTCTTCCTTCGGCCTTTTAGTGTTGTCCCAATTGTGGTAACTGGGCCGAGCTTGGTGCTGCATTTGAGTGGGATATTTCAGCTATGGTCTATATATTTTCAGGGTAACTAAGTAACTAAATGAGTAACCGAACGAGAGGCCGTGGTTCGCCATATAATTAAGCCTTCTTTTTGGCTTGTGATGAATATGTAAAATTCTAATCTCTTCTTTCTGTATTCGGGCGCTTAAGTAGATATAAATATGAAAAACTCTATTCGATTTACCCTCGTTCCCGTTTTTTGTAAGCTCATACTTTTTATTTTCAGCCTTGGTCAATTTCTAGGTTTCCACATTTAACATCGTCGGTAAGTTTTTTTTGTTGTTCATGTTCAACTGGACGCTGTGATCCCGTGCCCGTACTCCCGGACCAGTAGCGTAATTTCATTCCCTTTGCTTAATTTTGAAGATTGTATTGTACTTTTGTACCACTTCTTCTTGGCAAAACCTTTCATTATATCCTGATTGCATAATCAGTTTTTATATATTTATTTTTATCAATCATTTTATCGCCTGGTATTATGGAGTGAAAAAAAAGTTATACTTATTATACCGGTTCCACTAACATACCACATAGGGTTGGATTATCAGGATAACGGTTATCCGGATAACCGGTTAACCGAGAGATATTTTGCTATCTGATATCCGGATATTATTGTGACGGTTAAATGGATAATAGAGTAGTATAAATAATGCATATGCGCATTAGTGATTTTTATATTTTTTGTTGAGTGGCGACTGATATCTCCCAGAGCATATAATAACCACATTTTATTCACACTACTCTGCCTATGTTTTAGCCATACGTGGAATGCTGGAGTACACTTCACTAGTACATCACAAAACACGCAGAACAAATGTGATTATTGCGTATTTGCATTATAGACGACGTCATAAACCGATGGATTCATAATTAAAAAACAACCATTGATAATATAGCGGGTATTTCCAGTCTGCGTTATATTAATATGATATTAGTCTGGTATCGTGATTTTCTGATTAACTGTAGATGTATTGTTAAAGTTATATATCTTTGCTGAAGGGGATTTTTAATCAATGTAGTAGTATTTCAGCGACAACAACTACTGTGAAATGCCAGAAAATTTCCGATTTTTTTCAATTTCAAACATACGGGACTTTTTCATCCACTTTCTGTTGACAAGGCGCTGTCGACATGTTAATTTTCATAAAACTCGGGGTGTCTGCTAGTCAGTCAATAGACTTATGGTCACATATCAGTAATAGTGATTTTTTAATTTTGAACGTTGTTTAAAGTACATTACCCTTGGCGCAGTATATTTTTAGGCCAGAATGTTCATTTATAACGATTGCAATAATACAGTTATTGCAATAATGATACGATTATCTATTTGCAGCTTTCTAGATTGATTTTGAGCTTGTTTTATGTTGTCATTGTGATCGTTGCATACGCGTCATCGGAAGCATACATAATTTGAAAAATACGGACAAGCGAAAGTCTATAGAAGTGGTCTCAAAACAATAGATATTCGGTATTGAAGTTAGCATTGCTTGAATTGTCTTACATATCGCTTATTGATCAAGCTATACTTCCAATATTTTTAAATATCGATGAGCAACCAAAGTCCAGTCCGAAGCAACCGTGGTTTCAAGTAATTATCTAATATAATCAGTGAAAACCCGCCTGAAGGTATAAATTTTCCCAAATTTTTTACAAGATTATCAATTTTATCTTATTATATATATCTATATTAGTATTTGATAAGGTCTCAGTTCAAAATCGTTGCAAATATTGAACATAGCTTGTATGCGCAGTAACCCAGTCTGCAAGCATGTATTGTACATCTTTTCCTTTTTATTTCCCCCTTGTCTATGACTCGAAATGCATAATTTGTATTTTGTTTTTCATCAAAGTTCTTGCTCTTACATGTGTAGTTTCCAGCAATATAACTTCTCTAGGAAACAAAAGGGAGAGCATGGTTAGTTTATTTGCAATTCTGCTGTTTTGTCTGATTTCAGCAACAAATTCGTTGCCTGATGATGGTCTCTGTTCCCAAGTTTATCAAATGCATGAATATTGCACAAGGCAGGTTCATGGTACGTTACCTTCAAATTCGCGACCAGACCATGTTCATGCAAGACGAGTTGGTAAAGCTGGACCACGTGGACCACCAGGTGTTGTTAACTATACAAAAATAGAGGAGGAAATGCAGAGGAAATTTGACGGTAAGCTATATATCAGTAATATGGTTTGGTTTTTACACGGTTTTGCCATTGGTTGGTATCATATTTTCGGAGACACCGAATTTTGCATATTTAGTCCCAGTTCAAACTACCTTATGATCGGAAATATCACGTTTATTTCAAAGCGCAATTGAAAAATGGAGATAATCATTGTTTTTATCGCCACAAAACACAAATTCGTGCAGTGGGTCCATGTGCTGCATCTCGATTACTCACCTTGCTGTGGTACAGGCTTCACTTTTGAAGCGAGTTAGGTTCTAAACAATTTGTTTGTCATATAGAAATGGAGATTCGTTTTAAAACGAAGATGATCAACATTGAAGAAAAAATGTTAAACAATACATCTGAGATAGAAAGAAAATTTTCGGAATTGATTCGAGTTGCTGAAGGTTGGTATTCAAGAATAATCGCAGCCATGCCAGTACGATTTGTAAAAGACGTCTTAGCTTGAGTCAGCAAACTGAACACAGTCATACTTTTATGATCCCTTTCTCCCAATGGCGTCATAAATCAAGTCAACTATTGTCGTTCAATTCAATATTTGGAATTTTTTAACAACGTTTCGTTACATTCAGATAACACAACTATTTTGGTTTACCACCTGGGCTTTGACTTCAGATATATATAAAAATTTTAGTCGATCGAACCAACAAAAGCAACAATAATTTCACACCGGGCCTCTAAACTGGCTTGGTATGGCAGTTATAATACCCGTTAAACATGATAATTGTCATTATCAAGTTAAATCTGAGTAAATTACAGAACTTCTTTCGGTAATATTAGCAAGTGTGTATGAAGGGTAGATAAAAGACAAAACGCGGGTTGTTTAAGCGGTTGGTGAATATTAAAAAGGTTTGTTTGTTTTACTGATGATGTATTGTAAACCTTGAATTTTAAGTTGGATTCCAATTTCATTCATATGATTCTCATAATTTGTGCTTTGATGGACGCTGTTGTATTGTCTTTATTTTTAAACTGGCATTGTTATATTGTTGATAGTTTTTTATTTTTTACTTCGATATTGACTTCTTTTAAAACAGAATTAAGACCTCTAACTTTTTCCGATTGCGGAAAAGTAACTAAAAATGATGCAAAAATATGGAATGAAACCGGTGGAGTTTTCGATATTTATCCAACTTACACAAAGCTTGAAGTTTTCTGTGATCTAACAACTGACGGTGGTGGTTGGATGGTGAGGGAAAAAAATGTGTAAATCCTTGTAATACTTTATTTACTCATGTTCTATAACCACCAAATTGTTTGTATTAACACCAATATTCTTTATGACTATTATAAAAATTTGCTGCGTTCTTAAAGATATTTCAACGACGGACAAGTGGCTCAACGGACTTCTACAGAACTTGGAATGAATACGTAAATGGATTTGGGAACAAAGCTGATGAATATTGGCTTGGTAAGTCTTAAAAATCTTCAGCATAATGACACAAATATTTATTCTCTTTTTTTTAATATTTCATCTTTCTGAAAGGCCTGGAGAATCTTCATCACCTGACACGTGATAATGACTATGAACTTCGTATTGATTTGGAAGATTGGGAAGGAAACAAGAAATATGCAAAATATTCGTAAAAAGCATATGATTACTTTTTTCATTTACTTCATTCTAAAGTCTCTAACCTATAACATTAATTTTACAGCAATTTCAAAATAGGAGGACCGACATCGAAATATGCACTTGCTGTTGGAGGATACACTGGAGACGCTGGGGATTCTTTGAGTGGTCATAACGGTCAAAGATTTACGACCAAGGATCAAGACAACGATTCATATTCTGCGAATTGTGCAGTATCTTTCAAAGGGGCATGGTGGTACTCAAACTGCCATTCAAGCAATTTAAATGGTCATTATTTCGAAGGCGGAGTTCAAAAATCTTACGCAGATGGTGTTGATTGGTCTTCTTGGAAGGGGCAGTACTATTCTCTCAAAGTCACAGAAATGAAAATTCGACCAATATAACTATCCATAACCACGACAACAACAACAACTGTAGATGAACTTTTTAATTACTATTCCGATTACTTACTACAGCAATTTGACATCTATAACATTATCAGCTGATAATTTCGAATTATATTATCATTACTTATCGTAGTTCTGTCGTGGTAAAATCTCAATTAGAAAGTAGAACCTTGGGTGCCGTTGCTAGATAACCAACTTTGGTTCTCCGCGGCTTCCCTTCCACAGTAAAACCTACGCGTTTTACGCTAAAATCTGACTTGCGAATCAAGTCCCGCCTACGCAGCAATTCACATCGACACCGATAATTTTGAGGTATCAGTTTTGTCTGACTGTTTAGACGTGACGACAATACAAATGCCTATGGTTGCAAATGGTCGTGGGTTCGAAATGTCGTGGGTGCGAACTGTAGGACTGTGCTAGAAATCAGAGATTGAAATATCCGCGTGTACAAAAGTATGCAGATGCAAGTGTTTAAGTTACATAGGTTTAAATGTAGCTACGTGGGCCTATTCGACGGAAGAAATTTCATTCACTTCTTACTTTTAGGGTTCAGCTTTTTAGTGACTTCAACCACCTCAATATTCGTCGAAAGCATTCCATCCACTTTTTCCATTTAGGGTTTGGTTTTTTAGTAACTTGAACCAACCCAACATCCGCCGGAAGAAATTTCATCCACTTCTTCCTTCATATTAAAGTTCAGCTTATTAGTGACTTCACCTCACTAGTCGTCGGAAGAAATTTCATCCACTTCTTCCTTTTTAGGATTAGTATTTTAGTGACAAACGCTGATATTATATGTAGCCCATTGGCAACGCTGCAATAGATCTTGGTATATTCCCAGATATCCTAAGATGTGCACAAGTCACACCAGTCTTCAAATCTGGAGATAGGACTAAAACTGAAAATTATCCACCAATTTCAATTCTTCTAGTCTCCCCTCCTATTTGAAAAACTTATACATAACATGCTTATTTGCTTCATTGCCAAACATAATTTGCTGAATAAATTCCAATTTAGATTCCGAAATGGGCATTCAACTACCCATACCATAATTGATTTTGTTAATTATGTTTATGTTAATTATTCATCAACGATCAGATGAAAAACAGTATCTTTTGCTTATTTATTGACCTAAAAAAGCATTTGACACAGTGAACCACAAAGTGTTACTGCACAAATTATCATTACGGTATACAAGGTATTTTAGTGGGACTCCTAGCTAAATATTTAACCAATCGAACACAACTTGTTCAATTATCAAATGACACAAAATCGTCAAAACTCTCAATTACCTGTGGAGTCCCTCACGGCTCGATTCTCGGTGTTTTTTTGTTTTGTTTGTTTTTTCATATGTGAATGACCTTCCAAACGCCTCCAGGATTGTCCACCAGTGCCCCATCATCATTGCAGGAAAAAATAAATGAGTAACCCATCAAAGTTCAAATCTGGATTGCTAGTAATAGATTGTCGATTAAAATCGCTAAGTCAAAATTTTTCATAATTTTTAGAAATAAAAAATCCAAATTTACAGCTTTCCAAGTTACAATTGACAATCAGTCTCTTGAAAAAGTAGACTTCTATAACCGAAATTGGACTGGGCACGTGACAGATATGCCTGGAAAATTGTCACGGTATGTTGGTATTCTGGGTAAAGTTCGCAAGCTTCTTCCCACACAAGTTCTGCGCACGATATACTTTCCCCTCTTCCAAACTCACATTCAGTATGGTCTTGTTGCTTGGGGATGGGCTACTCAACTACCAGCAAATTGTCTAGATATTCTAGAAGAATAGAAGTTTTGTGAAACAAAACTGTAATAATATTATCCAATTCTACACCTCGTACTAGTTGTACCCCTTTATTTGCCACAAATAAAATACTCAAGTTCGAAGACATATATATATATATATATATATATGCCTTTTTGAAGTTGCAAAAATAATGCACCAATTCTCATTAAATTTATTACCAAGGGCTTTTGATAATTATTTCACAGCTCAGTATTTTATACATAGCCATCGCACTCGATCATCATCCCAAGGGTCCCTTTTTGTCCCCAGATATCAATCGAAGCGGGCCCAAGACACCCTTAAATACACTGATGTAAAAATTTGGAATGATCTACTTTCCAGCATCAAAGACTTGACATATCCCAATTAAAAAAAACAGTCACGCAATTACTTATTCTCTTTATAAAAATGTATTAATTTACCCCTATTTTATGCTTCTGTACTTTTATGATTTTAGTGTCTCATGGACATGATTGTGATTCTATTTTGTTTGATATATCTTTACACTTATGAAATGTTTTTTCCTACTCAAATATCAGTATAAGTATTTCTCTATTGATCTACAGTTAAATCTATTATAAGTACATTTTATAATGCTTAACTTTCTCTCTGAATTCTCCTCCGAAAACGTCTAACTGCTACAACAGCATTACATTAAAATTTAAAAAAAAGCATGACAACTTATTGCCTTGTAGCGCCATTTCGAGGCAATGCTGTTCTTTTATAAAAGCGTTTACCTGTGTTCGATTCTTAAATTTTAATTGATACAGGTATTGCAAGGTTGCAAGATTGCATTGCAAAGGCATGTACTGTAGATATTTTCAATTTTGCTTCATTTTTTTTGTGCCCGTTTGCCTGGACGGCAAATAAAAAACATTCGATTGATTGATTGACTTCTACCCCCTCTCTACTTTAGGAAGAAATTTCATCCACTTCTTCCTATTAGAGGTCAGATTTTTAGTGACTTCAACCACCTCCCTATTCTTCGGAGGAAATTTCATCCACTTCTTGATTTTAAGATTTAGCTTTTTAGTGACTTCAACCACCTCTCTATTCGTCGGAAGAAATTTCATCCACTTCTTCCTTTCAGGGTTCAGCTTTTAGTGACATCAACTACCTCACTATTCGTCGGAGAAGATTTTATTCATTTCTTCCTTTTAGGTTTCAGCCTTTCAGTGACTTTCGCCACCCTACCTTCGTCGGAAAAAATTTCATCCACTTCTTTCTTTTAGGATTCAGCTTTTTAGTGACTTCAATCATCCTATCTACCTGCAAATATTTTTTATCCACTTTCTCCTTTTAGTTTTCAGCCTTTTGGTTTTTCCTCATTGGAACACTCCAAAATCTGGATTTCATCCGTTTCTTCAACCCTCAGCAAAACCTTCCATCATATCCTGTGATTTCATAATCAGTTTTCATTTATTTGTTTTTATCAACATTTTATTGCCTGTTATGCTGATTATGGAGTGAAAAAAAACTTTCTCTTATTATACCGGTTCCACCAATGACATTAAACAATGTCAATGTCATTGGTTCCACATAGACGCTCCAGTGTTGCCAACTTGGATTATTTTAATCTAGATTTAGATTATTTTCGTATGATTTAGGTGTAAGAAATACCCATTTAGATGTTAGATTATTTTCTGAATTATTTTAGCATTCATTTGGATTATTTTGACAAATGTTATTGTTGCATTAATCTTTATTGCATTGTTCTTTAGTGACAAAGAAGTGAAGTTCATTTCACTAGTACCTTTAAGTACATCTAAAAAGATAGGATTTCTGGATTTAATAGAGAAAAGCTTTCCAATCAAGGTTAATAGTGTTCAAAACAAGGAGATAGGTTAGCCAAAATATTGTCAAGTATTGAATACTCTGCTGTTGTTATGCGAAAATCTGAAATCAGGAAATACTGTTGTTCACTAATTTTACCCCTATAAGTAGGGATGGGAAATATAGAATAATTTATTATTTTAGAATTCCATAAATCGAATCCAGAATACCGAATCCTATTCTGTTTTTATTGTTATTTAAATTTGGGAATTCTCACACCATATTGATGGATTATAATTTAAAAAAATAAATTGATTGGATTTTATTTGTTACCAAACAGTTGAATATAATAATTTTAACGAATACTATTTGCCTTGAAAATTTATGTGATCTCTAAATACTGTGTTGAAACAAATCGTTTATTATACACTTTTTAGTACTAAAATCTAAGTTTTCAGTCATTATCATTATAGTATTGTTGCTTAATGTCCTTCGATAGTATATGGCCGAATGGAAGAACTGCCTCCTCCGCGTATGACAAAATTTTTAAATTTATCGTCAACAATACCTCCCGACAAGCGACCAAACGTGTGTCGGATTCATTGCATTTTTGTTTTACGATATCATTTTGTATTTTCGGAAACGGTGTCTTAAAAAATAGAAATTTTTCTAAATTAATTGCAAATAATATTTTACCATCTGACGTCTGGTACACATCATTTGCCGGGAGAACCCGGAAGGCCGCAAAATATCATTTGATTTGAAAAAAATAAAGAAAGTTTCAAGTATTTGATATTCTATTTACTTACAGGATCTTCAATAAATCGTGTTTCTTTGTATTATTCAATATTAGTGTGTTTTATATTCGGAGATTGTAGAGAGAAAAAATTACATCCATAAATATTGTGTAATTTTTAACTGAAGTAACTGAAAAATACATACACAGGTCAGGAGGCAACAAGTTTTCAATTCTTCTCATGAAAAATATTTCAGTTACACTACTTATGTTCCAAAAGACGTATTGATATATGTAATTATTATTCTTTATTGCAAAATTTTCGTTTTTTTAACTGAAAATGTAACTTTCGTATATTTGGATTATTATTTTTTAAATTTAGATTATTTTAGATGTTTTTTGTTGAGATTCTAGAATATTTTATCGCTGAACAGTTGGCAACCCTGAGACGCTTTCCGTTCTGCTGATTTCAATTGTTGAACTTGCCTGCTGTTTGTCAGTTTGCAGCGTTACTCTCTGACAATACTTTTGCACGCGTGCTGTCGTACGGTACCCTACAGTCGCAGAACCGCTGGTGCAAGGCAGCCAAATATTCTGGATATTTTCAACAAGACGTCATCAAGGTTCAACGGTTATTAAATAACTCATTAACTGGATCAGAGGATAATGGCTACGGATGGTAAGCAGAAATGCCCGAACATTTGCAATCTATTCCGGTACGAAATTGAGGGTCTAGTATAAATTTATTTCGACTCCATAATCAGCATAACAATACATTTGACGGATAAAAACAAATAAATAAGAACTGATTATGAAATCAGGGGAGCAAACGAAACCTTAGATAGGGTTTATAACGTACAAAATATAAGATGGAAGGTTTTGCCAAGAGGAAGTGGTACCGGTTAAGTTATTTCACACACGCTCACATGCACCCACCAGCCACACACACACCCAACCACTGAGAAGTTATTTAAGTAAGAATAAAACACGATATATTTAGGGTATACTATACAGTAAACAAAAAAATATAAATACTAGAAATAGAAAAAAATTTATTTGCCACACCATATTGATAATTTTGTAATGGTTGCCAATGCCAAATTGATCGATCTTCTAATCGTTAATTAAAATATAAAAGGAAGATTCTATTGAAAACATATTGCCAAGCTGATTAGAGTTGGAGTCAAATGCCAAGTTGCCCAACCAAAGTTGCCAGAATTTGGTGCATGAAGAGGTGGTCAAGACCATTTCATTCCCCAAATTAGAGCCTATTATTGCCAAATTATAGTCCAGATTGTGATAAGTAATTAAAGTTACCGGTAACAGTAAAATTACTATAATTAACTAAAGTAGGATATGGAAATAAATTGGTTACAAAGGGTGTAAGTGAGGTTTTTCATTCTTGGGTATTGATTTCAGACAAGGATATAGGAATAAGATTGTTATTTCACAGGATATCGGAGTCTTTGTTTGATTTTTTCCTTATGTGTTTTACTTCATTTAATCACTTTGAAGTACCGTAACCTGAAAAACAAAAAATAGTATAGTTTAGTGCCACAAGTACTTGCAGTGGGGGTAGCATAACGAATTTTGTATATGTTATTCCTAACCCCCACCTGACTATGCCATCCAAAAATTAAGTCACCATCACGTCATATGGCTTGCCAAAGTATAATTACGATCGCCTGAAATGGCATCTCACTCCTATCGTGATCGTTGTGACGCGAAAACGAGAGAAATAGCTTGCTCGATTTCGAATGATCGTCTGTGCTTTTTGGACGACCAGCCGCATACTTTGGTGGGCCTTATTACGCCACTGTGACGTCGAAATGACGTATTTTTTCGGTGGCGTAGTTGGGTGGGGGTTAGGATTGACATATGCAAAAATTGTTGAGTCAGGCCAACTAGAAGTACATGTGGTACCGGTACTAAACTATACCAGACCCACATACAGACTTTTACACTACTGCATTATTCTTCACTCATTTTATGGCTTTTAGATAGGAGATTTCAAAGGGGTACCGTACCTATCCTATGCTACATAACTAACTGACTATATAAAGTATAATGAAAATTTTTACCCCTTAATTTTGAATTCTTTGTCGAATACTGAAATATGTCTCAACGACTTCAATTAACTCTTTTAAGACCCATTGATACCGGTATGTTTTATTGGTAGTTGGGATGTCATATTAAGACTGTAAGAGGAAGACATAGTTGTGACTTGATATGATCAACCGAGTTCACTATTCTCATACCATGTCAGAGCAGATAATTGAATGAGAGACTATCAACTGGTTGATATGATGACGGCAACTTACTGTCGTATCTACTTTCAGAACTTATTCCGAATAAATGTAAAAATTCATCCTGTACCACTTTCTCTGCTTCAGATTTCAAGCAACAATATTTTATTTTAGATGAAGTAATTCGAAAGCGTCTCCTGATAGATGGAGATGGAGGCGGGGATGAAAGAAGATTCACTACTTTGATGAAACTCTTTATGAAATGGTGCAATACTGAATCTTCAGATACTGATCAGTAAGAGATATGTACTAACTACTAAGACAGTAAGAGTTGAATATAGAATGGATTTCTGAAAACGAAAAGATATTTGAGAGTAGTGTCTTATAAAAATGTGGTTTTATAATGGATTTCTTATAGTATACATAAAATTACTCAAAACTAGAAATCAAAAAGCTTTACACCGAAAGTAAAAAAAGTATTGTGACATTCGATTTCAAAACACATATCAATTAATAAAGAAAACAGTGAGATGCAAATAACAAGATGCTGTTATCACAGTTCCTGGTAAAATTGGCCTAAATATAATAAACTGCAAAATTTATAATACTGGTTTTTATTCAGTCAGACACTACAAAGAATGCTATCAATTCTATCTCAAAGTGAATTTGCAATGACGAGGGCAACTTATGTTCATGAAATGAATAAAAAGCAGATGAGAAAGTATGAAAAAATACAGGTATTCGACTATGATTTTAGGGAGAGGGAAGACAATACAAAGGCTTGATTGATCAATCTTATGATATTGGTATTTAAACTTGTGAATTTCCCCTGTTGTGAACAAAACAAGCACAATGGGTAGCATCTTCTTATTAATAAAACAGAAATGATTATATTCACTATGTAATATTGTTAACAACGAATTTATTGCACAATTTAAGCAACTATGTGAGTGTCTGATGGACTTATTATTTGTTATAAGTGTCTTTATCGATAATCATGGTCAACTAGTTATGTTGACAATAAAAAATGATACATTCAGCAGAATTAAAATAGTATAGCGAAAATGATATTTTCCCCCTAGAACTTACACTTTGTCCCTTAGGCAAAAGCAGTTGTCTTGATAGAAGCCTAGCTATGCAACTGCAGTAGTTTCTTGCAACTGTTTTATAAGTACCTTCTCCAGTTTTCGTATGGAGATCGGGATTTTGTATTGAGCATAGAAAAATTATAAAACTATATGTAAATATATATCTGAGATTTAATTGGCTTCTTGATCCATAATATGTTGTATTCAATGTTTTGTACAAATATAAGAACGACATTGACAACAATGTTGAACTGGCACATCATGAGATAGAGAAATGTAAGAATGATTTGGAAAAAGCAAAACTAGTACGAAAGAACAGACAAGAATATGATGCACTGGCTACTATCGTTTTACAGCATCCTGATCGGAAGAAAACGTCTAAGTTTGTTTTTACGATTTTTCAATTTGTTTTGAATAAGCTATGAACTATAATCAAAATATATTCAACTAACCTTAATATTATAAATAATTGAAAATATTGCTTTTTTCTGTAAATTTGCCACTGGCTCAAGACTCGGCACGTGACTCAAAACATCAGCGACTCGACTTGGGATTCCAACTTTACGGCTGACTTGACTGACAACTCAGCATTTAGGGGCTTCTTTTCTACCCAACACTGCTTAGCTTAGTAATAGCTCTTCATGTTGTAATATATGGTATGAAAATTCCTAATATCATCATTGCTACTTAGGGAACTAGAAGATTTGAATAAAGAATTAGAAGAATTAACAGAAACAGAGAGAAAACTTGATGGAAAACTAGTGAAAAGGAGAAAACAATTTCATGCTTTGTTGACATCAATACATCATCTACGAGAAACACTTGAAGGTTCCGAAATATTTTTATGCTATGTTTCTACACCTTGAAATACTCAAAAGGAACTATTATTACCCTAACCCGGTGCATTCAAAATTCCTTGTATTTATTCAATGTTTTTTTAATCTTATAAATATTTTTAAATATCTTAATTCCATAACATGTTCATAAATCTTTTATCAGCATTCAATAAATTGGAAAATTAAATAGGCTGTGGCCTTTACCTTATAACATCTGTGAATAATATCTGTGAATGACTGTGAATGAGCTGTTTTTTACCTGATTTGATAACTTGATAGCGTTGACCAGCCATTGCTTAATTAAGCCATCTTGATGACTTTCTCAGATCTATACCATCTCAATGCATATATATATATATATATATTGGGTCAAACAGAATTGTGTGAAAGCAAAGTTGTTGGAACAGCTCATTGTATAATGTAGTAAGAGCCGTACATCCATCATAACTCCTATTAGAATCTGAACCCTTATTCAGAGGATGAAATTGAAGATCAAGAAATGGAAATTGATCAACCAGACTCCAGTATGGATGCAACATGACATAAGGATGTGTTAATCTGATATTTTAAGATCTCTGGCATTGGGTAGTTTGCACTAAACTTTGATTCAAAGCTGATGAAAATTTTGAATCTTACTCCACAGCATTCAGTGGAGGGACAACGAAGTCATGACTACAAAAAGTTTGATTTGTGCTTAATTTTTAATTTTTTACTCTCGTGCCAGTTTTTGGTATGTTGGAAATTTTGAGTCAACTTCCAAGACCAAATGGAAAGATGCAACCAATCCCCCAGCGCTGTTCACAATATAACAGGAGCAGGCCCTGGAGATAAGTGCACCTAAATTTTGAAATACATTTTTAAAATAGAATGAAGTCTTATTTCTGAAATCTGCGATGGGTCATATGTTTGATGTGAAACATGAATTTCGTGTATGTCTGTAGCCAAGTTGCAATAGCATTGAAGAACATAGGCTCTACGATTGGCGAGTCACGGTGATGAACCTTATGAGTCGTGTGCGAGTCGAGTTTATTTTTTCCAACCAGTTAAAATACAATCCTATACAATATTTAAAAAACGATATCACAGTTTTACTGGTGAAGGAGAGCCGCGGGAACCGAAATTTTTGATAGATAGGATAAATTTGTAAATCTTATCCAAATATGAAATTCTTATGCTGTTAAGGAATTATTAGCTCATCTCCCCGGGGTGAATTCCTATCCTGTATTGTGAATTATACTAGGTATTAAGTAGTTGCAGGCTAAAGTTAAAATTGTAACATCAAATATTATAACTCTTAGTTATTGTTATGTTCAATTTTCGGATCAGACATCCATATTTATCTCAGGGGAGCCGATGGGACGGCTCAATCATATGACGAACCGCGCCTCTCATTCGGTTACTAGTCAATGTTGGGTACCGGTATGTGATGAGTTAGCCAGTTATTTGTTTCCGATGCATGGACTCACTGACTGTTTCCTCTCTATTAGATCATGTCCTAAATATTTATCGAAACTTGCGCTATACCGGTACTGTCCGAGGTGCCTTCATTTCCCAAATAACTTTGACTCTGACCGTTCTTTATGTGGCGAAAACGAGCTGTTATTCAATTGTTGGAAATGATTGCTTTTGAGTGTTACGCCAACTTTAAAAACCCGCCATGCGGTAAAAACCGAAACAGTGTCCCTGGATATAGCAATGACATTAAACAACATTGTTTAATGTCATTGGATATAGCAAGAGTTTGACGGTATATATTTTTATGCGAGTGTAACTTGGATAGTGGAAGAACTCGCATCCGACTAGCGGTTGGTCACGGCTTAGTTCGACAATCGTCCACACGCTGTTTGGATTTACAAGATTCAATCCTTCAAATTTACCCTGGTTGATTGAGTGGGGTCTGAGATGAAATTAATGATATTTCACAACACTACTTTCCACCTCTACCCAAACGGGTGGTTTCTAATCGGTAGTTTATGTGCCCCCAACCGTACACGGAAAGATTCTGGGGAGTCCGTGAGCTTTATACGCATAGGTTGAACCACTCGCCAAAGTGTAGGAATGCAAGTCAAGGCAACTCAATAGGCCATGCTGGGATGTTGCTCGGAAGGGTTCTCATCGCATAATAACCAATATATTCCAATACCTACCTCAGTACCAATACCGAATTTAATCAATTTATTTAAACTGTTACCAGTAGCAAATAATAATTGATGTAATCTGGACTAGAATTTGGCAATATTTAGGCTCTTCATGGGTGAATGAAGCGGTTTGGCCCACCTCTTCATGCACCAACTTTGATTGGGCAATTTGACTCCAACTATAATCAGCTTGGCAAATTTTTTTTTCTTTTTGTCTTCATATTAAATACTGTTCACTCTTGTTTACATAATCTGTACTCAATTTGGGAATTTCTATAAAATTATTAAAATGGTGTGGCAAGCAATTCTTATTTCTAATTACAATCCGTATTTTAATTCTAATTTATTTTTTACTTATTTATTTGTTTTTTTGTTTGTTTTCCTCTGAAATTTATCTAAAGCTATTTTTTCTAACTTTATTATAGCCCTATGGTTGTGTGTGTGTGTGTGAATTGCAATTCTTTTTAGCAAAATCTTCCATCTTATATTCTGTACGTTTCAAACCTTATCCACGGTTTTATTTGCTCTCCTCATTTCATAATCGGTTTTTATTTATTTGTTTTTATCAATGATTTAATGGCCTTTTATGTTGATTATGGAGTCGAAATAAGCTTATTTTATCTTATCATGAAAATATCATTCAAGTTATCGCTGATCAAGTTCAATGGGTCGTTCAGCACAGTAAGTTTTTGACAGAGAAGATGTAAGACAGCTCCTTTCATTCAGTTTTCATGAAAAACGTTGTTTCTTGTATTACCTCTTCTAGGACACAACAGTATTAACTAGTTTTGTATGCAGCTTTCTGCCCAGTCATCAAAATGATCCATAGCACTGAAGAGAGAGAGGAAGATTTATTTCGACAACCAAAAAAAAACAGTCATAACATTAAAGAATGGATACAAAAAACACTTTTTTTGGTATAGACTGGAGGGAGCGATACGATTTCGCGGTCATCGGAGTCAGCTCCCTCCAAGTTCGCGTTGTTTACAGTAAAATATTACAAGCATTCGTCATGGATACATATTTGAAAATATATGTAAGCGAGATCGAGATGCAATTTATCGTTTTGATAATGTGATGTTATGGGAAACCTAAGGTTCAAAGCCGTTATCTAATTTAGATTGCCTGCATTATTTTAGTAAAATCAAATTTTGACAAATGGAATTTATCTTTTAGAAATGAAACAGTTTGAGCAAAAGATCAGCTAATACACATTTTTAAACTTAGACGCACAGACTAATATTCAAAAGCGAGGACTAAGCCCCACAAAAAAAAATTGGGCAATTGAACTACTAATATATACTTAATTATTAGTTTGGACACCAACAATTGTTTGAATCAGCAAGGATAAGAAACAATCTCAGGAGGTAAAAAAAACATGGTACTCATATGAATATATTATTGGGAAACTATTATTTGAAGAGAGGAATCAGCCTTACAGACGTTGGCGACCTATGGTTTTTTACACAATGCGTAACACCTACCTATTCCAGTAATTTTGCGCCGACAGTAATTATTTGGTGGTATTACATGTGTGTGATCAGGCTTGGTTTCAGTGTACATTCCAGAATGATTCAAATTAATAGGATATCTCGGAAGGCTTCGTCCACCCTGTATTGTCTTTCTCAAATTAGTAGTGTACGATTTCAAACAGAATAAAATCTAATGTTGTCACTAAGGTGTAATGTCTTTGTTTTTATTGTTGTCAAGATGCTTTCTTTGTGCGCTTTTGCCTTAGTTTATCCTTTTGTAGTGGCAAAAGTATCTTGTAATATGTGATGCTCAATGAACATAGCCTGAATTTTAAATAAAATTTGCGGGGCGCAACTTTACTTTTCGGTATAATAGTCTAACTAAGGCCATTTTATTACTATATATCAAAAGTGTTATCATTTTATTAATCAGAAGAGAAATTGTTTGAAAGTTGTAGAACTACAGACTGATATGTATATTAATCACGAATTTACCACGAAAATGAGGAATATATCTCCAAGTATAGCCTACTGTTTGACTACATGCTTGAAATGGTTCACGTTGATGCTAAGCAGAAACCTAAAAGCAGCTCAGACTAAGTTTTATGGTACTGAATTTTACTCCTAGAAAAAGGTTGTCAATAGAAGATTTTTGCCGTTAAGGAAGCGTTTAACATTTATTTGTTTATTTTCAATTAATTTTGTTAAGCAGAGTTTGGTCATGGGCAAGGTATTCTCTTGAATATGATATAACAATACACAGCCGGTTTAACCGGTTGTGAAAACTTCAATCGCACACTGTAAACAAGAAATATAAATATGGCCAATGGACCTGATTTCGACAATGCAATGGAATACGAGAAGAAAAATTTGATCACAACCACAAACAGAATAAACGCATGTAATAAATGGGTTATGCTCTTTTCGATCCTCGCTGTCGGATCTTCAGTGGTATACGTGAGTGATGGGTGGTTTATGCAGACTTTAGTTAAAGAATCTGGAAGTAAATCCTATTCTTGGATTTCATCTGTGGTCGACCGTCAACTCACAGCTCAAGATATTCCCTTACAGGTAAGACCTAACCGAAGTAAACTTATTTAGCATATATATATGTGAAAGTTATATAAAATCTCGAGGCATATATAACATGTAAAAGTAACGGTCCTAATACAAATGGTATTTGAGTTTGAATATGGTGGGATTTGAAGTTTGAAAATTGTAGGTGAATAATTCTTAATATGAATAATTTTTTTCAGGCCGGAACGACTTTTCACGTAACGTCAATGGATTTTACAAAATCTAGGAGCAAACGACAAACTGCAGTAGAAACTGGTTCAGGTAGGGTATGCTTTGATTCGGAAATATTGTATACCACCGAGATTTGCAACCGCTTTCATACTGCGGACTGGTTGTAACCTACGTAAATTTGCGAACCCACCGCCAAAAAACAATCTTTCAAAATTTATGACAACTCGGATTTACTCAGCATTAATTAAAAACGTTGAGCTTGTTTTGTCGCACTCATTTTTTCGCTGTTCGTAATCAGCACATTATCGTTAAAGGAAGCGTTTCCATTTTGGTCGTTGATATGCCTCTCGTTTCCGATGCTGCAGATGGTGTTGACCCATGTCTGAAAACCTTAACATAGATATTTGTTTTGTCAGTCAAGCCACATTTATGCTCGGTTTTGTAGATCCTCATTAGGAATGTTACTTTTTACTTTCTACTGACACTATATGTACATCAAATTCAAATGTTCGCTGTTGATTAATAGATTAATTTTCATAGTTGTTCACTGTATTATTTAGTATAAATGTTTCAAAACATTTAAACCAAAAATGCATACGGTCCGGTATCTAGCCCGTAAATAGCTCCCTCCCTCAGTGTTTGCCGGTCACTTGTCTACATTTTACAGAACATTAATCGTATAATCCTGCAACTATTAACGATGCATTAAATATTACCTAAAAGCAAAATCGCGACACTAACAGGTTGAATCACAACTATTGTGAGTGTTGGCTGAGAGGGGAGTAAAATTGTAATATATATTAGCAATTAATTCTTAAAATATTTCATTAAACGATTGAACATTGAACACCTTTTTTTGGTTGCATTTAGTTTTATCTGGACGAAATGTGTGCCAAGTTTTTGCCAGTTTTGACTTAGCTTCCAGCATACAATAGAGCAATTTTGCATCGTTTTGTTTGCTCATTTCTACTTTTTTCGTCAAATTTTATCGAGTTATATGTAATCTACCATTTAAATCTTGGCGTATAAAGAAGTTTGTTTCTTCCCAAATCCAAAAACATCTATTCAAATCGTACATGGATTTTTAAAGAAATTGTATAAGGGTATCCTCGAAATAGCCCATTGATATTTGCTTTTTAATGAATAAATACTTTTGTTTGTCAAATTTCTTTTTTTACGTTTTATTCTTTCAATACATATCTTGTTTCAGTAATTGTCGACGAACTCTGTGTTACTCCCCGCCCTTTGTTAATCCCACTTCAATTCTGAATATGTGTTCTTGAAAGAACTGATTGAAATTGTCGACTTAATTATATTCAATTCTGAATCTTTTCAAAGAAAACGAATTTGCTTCCAAAATGTGCTACTGGTCATATCATAACTGGACGTCAAATCGTCGCTGTTCTTTCAGTGATTTGTACGAACCGGTATGGCCCAAAATTACAAACACTATCTTGATTTTTTTATTTTTTATTTTCAAAGCACTCACATTCGCTCATAAATTAAAAAGGCCAGATATTGTAAATTTACAATAACCTATCAACTCTGTTTCAAATAGGAATCATGTACAGGGCGTGATGTTTTTACACTACCCTGTACAGGCAGCCACTGATATCTCACAATATGTGAAAAGTTACTTTCATTTGAAAAAAAACAGAATCTTTCTAATTTAGCCTTACTTATCGGGTGGGGTGTGCGGCATTACATTGTTAAATAATGCACGATGATGAAATGAAAATATTAATGAGTTTTCGGACAAAAGTATTCAAATACTATTCGGACATATTTTCAGGGATCTAGTTATATTTTAATATAAATTAGTTTTAATCAGAACACGTGAAATTATGTAACTATCAATTGTAGCTTGTTTCAAATAGTGCGCTTTATTTAACGGTTTCCGTGATTTTATCAATATTTAAGAGTATTTTAATAGGGGTTTTGTTATAAACATTTGCGAAAATATGTCACAAAGATTTTGCAACTGTAATAATCATATTTCCAGCTGCCCCTGGAAGCGGATCTGGTGGAGAGAGTGGAACCAGCGGAGAAACGACAACAGGTCAGTTGAACCCCTAAAAATGTGCAAGTTTTAAAGGAAATTTTTCTATATTAAAACTCACAATTAATCTTGGCTTCAATAGAAAAAACTATTTTGGACCCTTTATTACTCTTGTTGTCGCATTTGCCTAAATGGGCCAAGCAACTGTTGAATTTCGTCAATTTCTTTAAAAGTCTAGTGAAAGTAATTGTTTTGTATTTTTTATATCAAAAGGCACTTGAATTTCATTGAACTGCATTCATTTCCCCGAAAAAGTTAGAATTTCACCCGGGTTTTTGATGATTTACACAAAGTGGCCTGAAATGTAGAAATTTCGATATAATCGTTGTTTTATGATGTGTTGTTCGCATGTTTTATGATAACTAGTAACACAAAGTGTTTGATTGTCTGGTACAGTTATTCCATTTCGAATAAATGTACTGGACTTAATTTAATGAGGCTTAAGTGTTTGTAGTGCTGTAGGACATCTCTTCGCCTATTTAATGATTTAATACCAGAATTTTGGAAGATTGTAGAAGCCGCTGTTCCAAAGTGAAAAAATGTCCCGTAGTGTCACGTACAATATACACATTACTGGCATAGATCTACAGTGTTACATTAAGTAACTTGAGCAACACATAGAAGGGTCCTTCAGCTACTGGAGCATAAAATGGTCTCCTGCTGTACCATCGCGACAATTTACAACACAACACAATTATTGCATGGTGGACTTGGCGTCCCGTAATGTCACGCTATATTTTACTACGTGTATATTTTATATCCACTAAGTAAGATTTGTGTGTAACTTTTGTGCAATTTTGTTCAAACCCCATAAGCAACTGATTGGACAATGACACAGAACATGTAGCTGGAAATGTAAAAATATATTGCATCTAACGACATGCTAATTTTCTGGAATTGTCCCGTAGGGTTACGTGGAATTGACCAAATACGGTTTTTCTTGTTGCGCACAGCCAAAACAATCACGTCTAAAATTCTGTGTTTAAACTAGACTCCATTTTGCATTTATTTTTATTCAGAATGACATTTACGTTTGAATGTTACTAGTTTTTCATAAAACAAGCATTTTAACATGCTATTTATTTCACACGTTGGACCACGTCAGAAAATGTTTATACAAAGTTTATACAATACGTCAGTTCATGTGATTTTAGTCAATTTAAAATTGTAGGGCCAGTATGGTCCAGCCCCGTATTTTCGGGGATGAAACCCTTCCAAAATAATTTTGCATTTGTTGAATAAAACATCATTGCTATAGTCGATGTACATCGTACATTGTAAACGAAACAATCAATATTAATTTTCTGAAATTTATTTCATAGACTCAAGTGAACAATCAGGAGAAGTAACGACGTCACCAATGGATGTAACGACAGGTTAGATAAACATCAGTTAAGACAATGCGAAAATTTCAATGATTTCAATCGGCTCTAATTAAGCCATAGAGTACTGTGAGAATATCACATCACCCCGCAAGATCTTAGATCAGCATTTCCCAATATACTCCAAAGTCCATTCACTCGCAAAGAACAAGGATTGGATACCCAATCTACATTGGCGGTGAATGTTTCCCCCAGCAAAATCTCTCTTATATTTCAGCATTGAGAAATTCTTCATCGCGCCATCTTTATTTGTGTTCTTTTTCCTTTAACATATTACTATGGTGGACTATCTAAAATTCAACACACTTTAACGTAGAACAAGTTTCTTTAAGTTCTACGACCAGTCTGGGTGTAATCAATTGGTGATTTAAAAAGGAGAAATTTTCTGCAAAATAATAGCCCATTCAAAGCACAGCCACATTGTAACAAAGTTTAACTTTGGCATTATTTGACCAACTTCCGTGGATTTTCGCCAACTATACTTCGCCCTACATTTGTGGAATAGTCTTAGCCTCGCGATAATGATATCCCGCCCATGTATTTCTTCTCTTTTGTTTTATTACTATTTATTTTTAATTTTGTTCGCCACATATATTATATTATATTGCTATACGTAGCGTGACGCTTAAGTTGAATGCATCCCATGCTAAAAATATCTTTGGACAGTTTTTGCATTGTATTGGTTGTCAAAATACATTATATATTTCATAAATATTTGAATCAAATTCAATTTTCTATAAAATTTTCCGCAGACTCATCTGAACAATCTGGAGACGAAACAACGTCACCTATGGAGATGTCTGGTGATGTAACGACAGGTTAGAGACAGAGCGACAAACAAAAAAAACTTGAGAATGAAAAAATTAAAGGACGATAGATGTCGTGAATGATAACACAATAAATGTCAATACTCAAAAGCACAATGTTGACTCATTTGTTGGACATGATTCGATCCACAATTTTGTCACTTTATCGTGTCAGATCCCCGAACATTTCATCGCCTTGCTTGCTGAAACGAATCGAATATTTGGATCGATTCTAAATTATGTTTATCAAACTGTAAAAATTTAGGAATCATGTACAATAGTTTTTTTTTTAATTTAAAATAATTTGGAACAATTTATGTCTCAGAGTATGACCGAACATTATACATTTAACTTCCTAAAACTGTAAAAAATAGACCCAATCAAACCATTGTTAATCTAAACTTTCATGTATGTCCAGGTTTAATTTTATGCCTTCTTCACATCCCCCAATTTAGAATATACTTGATATTCCATATTTGAAAATAACATTCTAGCACATATTCGGAAATGTGGATTATTGGATTTCAACACCTCTGCACCACTTTTGATGTATATTAGAAGAAAAAAAATTTCATTAAAAGTTATTTATCTAAAACAATCATCTGAATGTACCCTTTTTAACATATAAATTCCACTACAAAAATGATCAGGTATAGATGTATAAATCAGGTTTATGTATAACAATAATCTGGATGTGCCATTTTTACATATAAGATCGACTACAAAAACCACTAAGTATATTCAAGAGTGAATCTTGTTAAAATGAATGACACTAACGACGGACAAATCCCTCTCAATATAATTTGATTTTATAATTTCTTGAGTATTAATTTTATAAATCCTCTAGTCACTATTCTTATTATTTCTCCACAATATAGCTTCGGGGTTTGAGGAAGAAGCAACAACTGCATCCATGTTTGGTGAGTTAATACCGCAGTTTGAACAATTGATCGAATATAGATCATATATCTATATATTAGAAGAATACAAACATAACACAAATAATATAATACATTTAGCAAATCATATATGAGCTTAAAATACTAGATCATTATATATTGTTGAAATAAATTTAATTTTTGACATAAAAAATTTTTCGTACAATTTCACGGTTACAATATTGCAATTACGGTACATTGACTATATAACAATGTTTCATTACATTACCTATTATTTCTTATAAATGTTTTCTTATTGTTTCAGAATTGTCGGGAGATGAAACAACCGCGCCTATGGAGATGTCTGGCGACGCGACAACAGGTTCGAATCATTTTTAAGTTGGATGAGAATTTTAAACTAAAGCAACTCATGATAACCAAAGTACATTTCCAAGTCTTGAGTCTGAATTGATGGGTATTATGTGATCATTCAGGTTTTAATGAAATAATAATGAATGAGAATAGAGGTCGTGTGGCAATGTGTATCTTCATTTAAAAATGTTTCTCGTACCATTGAATCCGTATGAACAACCGAGTCTATGAGATGAATCAAAAATTTTAATAGAAAAGATTTGAATTCCATTGTACATGATACTAAACATGCTTATGTTCAAGAAAAAGCTAATGTTACAGGCATGAATGAGATTTTACCCTTTTACTGTTAAGATACTTTATGATTTGTCATTTTTAGTCAACTTTCAAGTCAAATTTTGAACCTTATACGCTTTAATTTTTAACGTTTGAATTTTCTTTCACAGCAACAGACGAGAGTTCAGGAGATGTTACCCCTGAATCATTGTTTGGTAAGTTCCAAAATATTTTGCCACTATCGATTCAGACGTTCAAGACACGATAGTTTCATGTCGAAGTGGACTTGTAGAAACGTTGAGAAAATCTCTTTTTTTTGTTGGAGCAACAAATTTTCTTTCTTAAATCGCCCTCGAAATTTGCAGTAGTTAATTGCGAAACTTTTCCCTATTTTGTTCATATTTTCTCTGGGCTTCATGGGATGCGTTGCTTTACAACAGATATTGATGAATTATATTTCGCTCCGTATTACTCTCTTGTTTAAATCAGTGCATTTTCATTGCAGAACAATCTGGAGAAACCACAGTCGTTACGGGTAAGGAAATTGAATGGTACTGTTTTGAACAAATAAATCGAATATGATGTTTGTATAGATAGATGTTATATGAAAACATCGCGATACTGATTGGTACTCGTCACTTTGATATACAGATTTTTGCAATTTCTATAAGTGTTCGACACATTTATTTCAATAAATACAACAGATAAGATGCAGCAACGTAGTGATATCTAATCGAGGGCTGACCTAGTGGAGGGCCATATGGGCAATCGCGCCGGGCAGCACGTGGTATGGGGCAGCAGATCCAAGTTGTAGAGTTGGCGTTATACACATTTTTTTTACTTGATGTTACTTTATTTAGGTGAAAGCTGACATTACGTGCATAGTTTTGTGTGAGTAATTGTGGTTATGGCTGACTGCCCTTTCCCGCCAATATACTCTTCTGGTCATTGCGTGATTTAGCGGAATAATACGAACATTTCACTCTTACCTCACCTTTAATTTATTCATACTCATGTATACCCACATCTATAATTTGTTTATCCATTATTTTCTAAGTTAGGTATAAGGAGGCATCATTATCAGAAACTCGCCCTGGGTAGCAGAAAAGTTTGGCACGCCCTTGTGTAATGAGTATATGAGCTACCATACGCGGGGATACGCATTTACTGATTATTTGTACAATTTATTGCATTCATGCCGAGATATGTGGATATGTATGTTTATGGATATGTCCAAAGACACAAAATGTCCTGCGATCAGAATAGTTTAAGGAACTAATTTATACCTTTCATTTATTTTACCGTTTTCAGAAACGACTGCCGCCGTTACGGAGGCTATAGTCGGTGAGTATCATAAATTTCACAAATATCAAAAATGTTTTTGGAATGTTATATATATGAGAATTTTTTCCTAATAATATATTAATATGTATATTAAATTTTACAGAGCAAACAACTATTGAAATAGTAACTGGTGAGTTTTCTTGTTCATTACCAAAAATGAAATTTCATTTAGCGACTTGATTACAACTATAGCGACATAATACACATAAAAAACTGTTCAAATTTGGTCACATATTAAAAATATTCGCCAACATATAACATATTGACATTTACAGCACATTGTAAAGTCGTTTAAGGGTGTTTTTATATTCACATCACTATTCTGTAACTGTACATTGATTCTTCTGGCACTATGTTCGGTTATTAGTAATAAATAGAAAAATTTTACTCAAAGCAGTTATTTTTCTAAATGTTCTGTTTGATGTTATTCAATATTAAAACAATGGTTATCATTATTATTGGTGTATGTATTATTAGCTTGGATCTTATAGTGTTGAAATAGTTCTTGAAACCTTTCTCAATAAGAAATTCATCTGTCCTTTGTTTCAAGTAGCATTCAGGTTCAAATTTTGAACGTTTCACCCTTTTAAATAGTGTCATGACCGCCATGTCACTAAATTATAGGGTTTTAACTCTCACGATGTTTATTAAATATGCATGAAATGTAAATGATAAGTTTAAAATTGTTGGGTTGTTCGTTTATCTCATTTGAAAGTACTCAGTCTATAAGTTACATGGTCATTCATGAAACACTCAAAAGTTGTTTTTGACGTTTCTGTAAATTTCTGAAACGGTCTTCAAGCGCGTGTGGGTTTACTATAAAGCCCCAAATGTAAATCATTCAGTTGTTTCATGTAGTTAGAATAGCAAAGATTTCCGGTATAAAAAGGTTAGCGTCAAAATATTTTTAAAAGGCGTAGGAAAATTCTCAACTGAATGGAAACTTGAAATAAAAATAAATATTCATTTTAGCCGACACCGAAGAAACAACAGCCTTTGAAGTTACGACAGCTGCTGATGACACTGATGAAGACGCAGGATTGGTATGAAAAATTTTTGTAGTGCCGCAATTTTGTCATAAAATGACGATACGAAATTTAGACAGCTCAAATTAAAGGAAAATATTTGTATGGTTTTTACACGTATAAAAATTTATTAGATCTTTTCCAAAATCTACTTGTTTCTTTATTATTGCGTGGGATTTACGCGCCCACCTTGTACAAGACTATATAGCTATATGTGAGAAAGTATCCACTGGTATACAAAAGGGCCCAAAATCATCCGGGTACGACTTTTGCCTACCTTACATGTTACACCTTGGATGATGTGGTTTGTGGTCACCTTAGTTGCATGATGATATTCACTAATGCCAACCTACTTGGGTCTGACAATGTAACCAGCAGGCAGTGGTTTTCAACCTTTTTGGTGTAGAGGAACCCCGATGAAACATTCCAGTGGCTCGAGAAACCCCTCTGCATTCGTTTAATTGCCTTTTATTGCCCTTTATGAATATATATAAGCAAATCTAATATTAGATATACAAATTTTTTTCTATAAAGTGTAGCGAGTTTAATGATGGTAGCAAGCCTAAAAGTATTTGATTATATCTGAACAATATATTTATTGATGTTTTTATAAATTAGAATTTCGGTTTTAAAATGAAACTTGACGAACCCCTGGAATATACTCGCGGGAACCCTACGGTGCCGCAGAACCCCGCTGTAAAACGACTGCACTAGTGCGTCCTCCTTTTAAAACTTCTCGTGCTTTTACCTCCATAACATCCACCTCGCTTTCTGTGTGATTAATTTTCACTCTTCAGCATGCATCACTTTATTTTGTCATCTTTCCGTTTCTATTTGTATTAAAACCGTATTCTCATTTATTTATCAGCTAATACCATTCTACTTCGCCATAATAGCCGGGGTTGTTGGCATTATACTTGGTATTTGTGTCGTATTTGCTGTAAAAAAATTTGTTAAATGGCTGAGGAAAAGGAAACTTGTGACACCGATGCATACTCCAACGTCCTCATCTTCATACTTAAGAGATACAGATTTTGGAAAGGTAATTTTATAATTTTAATATAATTTGCTGAAAGTAGTTTATTGATTTAATGTATATTTTTAAACTAAATATATAAATGCGTATTAAATCTAATTAAAATTTGAAACTAGGTGTTGATAATTTTATTTGATTTAGTAAATAATTAGATGAGCGAAATATTGGAGTGACATCCTCTGATTTATCGCCTCTTTATTATAATGATAGTAGTGAACGCTATGAAAGTTCAATGCATATATCCTAATAACACGAGTAATTCTATCGTACATTTAGTGATATTCCTGAATTTTTAAAAACATAAAAATGAATGAACAACTGCTAAGCAATACTAAACTCATATACCATACATCATTGGGTTTGTTGCGGTATGTTATGATGGCCAATAGATGTAACCAATCCTAAGGTATTACTTTTTGTCTTGAAGCCTCCAGAACTCAACTGGCTGATGGCTAGAGAAGACACTTTATTGAAAGCAATGGCACTCGGTCAAATATCTGTTCTAGAATTTGCAATTGTCGAAGCTCGGTCTTCTGGACTAATGAGAGACAATCCTCAACTTATGAAAGATGCGGAAAACAAGTACGTCAATACGTATATAAAAAAGAGTGTTACTGAAACAATGCTAATAAGCCACGCATAAATAAGAAGATACTAAGTTTTGGAATGGCATGATCTATTACTTTCTTGGTGCTGTGGTGGGCCCAACTTAGCTAATATATTGTCTAGTACCCATGTCCTAAATGCCATTGACGAAAATACGGGTAATTTAAGATTATTCTTATAGTATATATTTTGATGGAAAATATGGCAAAGTAATTGATATTTTTCACAACTATACTTTCAGAATGAACGCCTGGAAACGTACTCAAACTCAATTAGAAAATTCGTATAAAGATCGTGATCTTGACACGATGGATGAATTCATGAAAAGGTTCAATGAACTTGAAATGAAAGACGATACAGGAACTTATCAGAGATGTGTGGACTTGAAATGGAATATGAAACACGCTGAATTAAATATGGCGAATGCAGCTGATAGCAGAAATGAAACAATGTTAAGATCGTCGATGGCAGAATTTGAGTAAGTCTTGGCAATTTGGAAGGGTCTATACAGCTACCCTCTTTCAAAAAGATACAATTTATTTCACTTATACCACAGTCCAATCACGTTAAGATTCTTTCGCTGATACTGTGTTTGATGTATACAACGTATCAATTGGTATTATAGGGAGAGAGAAATCCATATCTGCGCTTTCGCACTCCAGCGTTATTTAGTTTAGCACACGTTGCCAGAGTGGAACCCCCACCTGTACTCCTTCAGAGGTCAATAACCACACAATGTATTGAATGCCAAATGATCATATATTGTAAAGTTGTACAATACAGTATATTTTAATTTACATTCCAAAAGAATCTTCAGGAAATTTGCATACAACTCAAATATGTATATATATATATATGCATTTCAAATATTTTGATACAAAAAATATTTATTTTCTTTTTTCTCATACTACATTAAATTGAATTAAGGTCTCTCAAATTGCAAGACGCCACTGTTGCTACGAATCAACCTTATCAGAATGCGGCAAGAGTGATGGAAGAACTTCGTCAAGAGCAACTTCTTCAAGGTCGCACATATGATGGAATGAGAACAGATTTAAGAGCAGCAGTGATAGCGAGGGAACCGACAGCCATAGCTGCTGCCCTAGCAAGTTTCACTCTCGCAGAAGTACCGGATGAATATGACGACATTGCAAAGGCCAACAAGTAAGCAAATATTTGGCGCCCAATAAAAACTTTGTTTATGCCATATCTATATCTTGTCTTTTTGCCTCTTTGTAGAACTTTGGAGGAAATTGAGGAAGAGCGAAAAGAGAATCTTGATACATCTCTTAAGAAGATGGAAGAAGCTAGTTTCACCAGAGATCAAGATGCTTTGAGACAATCAATTGATGATTGTAGGAGATTTGGTGCACCTGAAGCCGATCTCAAGAATCCTGAAAAGTTATTGAGAGTAATTGAAAGAGAAGATCTTCTTTTAGCAGAAATGAGATCACTAACAGCTGAAGGAGACATAGCGAAATTATCGAACGCTATTGTCGTGTTCAAGTAAGTAGAATTTTGATCTAATCATGTGATGATGGTATATTTGTATTTGAAACCATTTTTTATTGCACATGGATAAATTCACTGTTTACCTGCAGGATATTGAATGAATATGATTTTATAGAAATTTACCATTTTGTTTTATTTTTATTTAAAACTTCCCCACCATAATCTTACTTTGATGCGTGCCTTGTCTCATTTTATATCACCCGACATGATGTCAGATTAGTTTAGCACATCACTTATTTGTATATATTTCGTTAAACGTAGTTATGGTCAAAAACAAAAAACAACCATGATCAATATATAGTGTCACGTGTGAAAATACAAATCGTAGATACAAATCATTTTAACATCACGAATTAAATAAAAATAAAAAAGAGTTTAACGTGTAAACCTAAATTACCAAAAAGCTAATGTTAAAGGGAATTTCATGCCGATTTTGTGCGCCCGGAATGGATTTTAAATGGATGAGGTCAATTATACATATAAACTAAGACAAAAATTGAACTTTGATAAAAAAAAATTATTTCTAGAACTCCGGTAGTCGAGATGGTCGACAAGACTGGTGATGTGGCCAAAGCAGAAGAAGTTCTAGAGAAACTGCAAGAAAAAGAGAAAATGAGAAGGACACACATGGACGTAAAGTGGAGATTAGAAAATGCTATGGCTATTGGTGACGTCACTGCAATGGGAGGAATGATAAAAGGTATATCTGTCGTAATAGATATATACAATAATAAAAGCACGCATATAGTTTAGAATAACGTAATGTCGAGTTCGGCTCAGCATTGGCAAATTAGCCTTGTAATACGTTTGTTGTAATTGGTTATTTGTTGTAATGCAGCATTTCAAGGTCTTGCTGCAGCAGGTGAAGAGATCGACGAAGGCCTTCTGATTCGTGCAATGGGTGAACATGAAGCGTGTCGCGGACAAGTCGATTATCGAAAAAGAATGGAAGCAATCAAAAGCGCTCTCGCGCGGTCATTTGCCAACGAAAATATACCTCAAATCGAAGATCTTGTTGACCAAATGTCCACTTTAGCAGAAGACAAAGAATATACTATGACAGCTGATGACTCTAGGGTATTGGATGAATCAAGAACTGCCTTGAATACACTAAAACACAAATATGCACTAATGGACGAAATTGCCACAGTACGGCCGGACTTATCGGTACCACTCGTGCCACCAAATCTCGAAATACTGAAACAGGCTGTTGATAGAATGACAGTCGCTAAGAAAGGCGCAGAACAGTTTGATGGCGTGTTTTCGGACGCAGATGCAGTTTTACTCGAAGATGCTCGTGTCAATGCCAGTACACTCGAAAACAAAGTAAATATTATGACGAATGCGAGAGAACGCCTCGAATTGGCAGTGGAGAAAAGAGAATACATTGAACTCAAGCATTCAATAAGGAATGCTATTCAGGCCCCGTTCATCGAGAGGAAGGAACTCGTTGAGCCGCGCAAGCTGGCAATTTTCTTGGATCCGAAAGCCCGTAGAATGGCAGTAAAGAAGGGTATGCGCGCTCGAGATATCGGAATGCTAGATGTTGCTTTGCAGGTATATTATTTTTTATGTATATAATTATCCCTGGTATCTAATTAGCCCTGGCAATTTAGACTTTGAAAAATCGAGATTCCTTTAATTGAATGATAACCACAGATTTTCCTGAGATAATATTCCATAAATATGCAAGTACCTTGGAGTTAAATTCCTGCTATAATTTTCCGATCTCGTAAATGAAAATAAAAACCTAACCAGTGGTGGAATTTAAAATTTTCAGGACAGGATTTCCATCTTATCTTATCTGCCATCTTATTTCGTATTTCATAGGACTTCAAAGATGCAAGAGTAGACGATGAAACGCTCTTACTCAAAGGTGAGCGAACGCTAGACAAGTTGAGAAAGAGAGAACGACGACGAGCGAAACAAGAAAGGCGAAAGGAGAAAGAAGATGCAAAACGTGCGGCAGAAATTGCACGCTTGACTGAAGTTCTGCGATCGGCAATCGCATCCAGAGACACTGAACATCTTCAACTTGCTCTTGAGGAATTTGAGGAAAGTGGATTTGATGATGAAGACGTTCCTGTTGTTGTTGAAGCTGAAGAACTTTTTGACACTCTCAAAATACAAGATCTTAGAGAAAGACTTCAAGACGCAATTAAGCGAAGAGATCTCTCCGGTCTGGAAAACGCCGTAGATGATGCCGATTACGGCGGGTGAGCAAAATATCATAAACAGACAACGATAATAGAATTTTTCTATAATAAACATGGCAATTTTGACAGATAATGAAGGCATTACTATTATGTTGGTAGTTGATACAATATAGTAACACTATTTAATCTCGTTTTTAGTTTCGTTATGGACGTGAAAGAAGAATACGATATTGCTAAAGAACTCCTTTATCATTTGAGAGAGTTAAATAATCTACGAGAAGCGATTTCAGAAATGAATAGATCATTGATTAGTGAGATTCATAAATATCCGACTCCACCTCCGTCTGTACATCAAGTTATGGCAGCTGCATTCACTATTCTCGGAGAATCTCCTAAGAAACTTAAGGTGGGATGTCTATATCAACTATTTGACAAGCTATGTTGGTACTATATGATTATTGCCCCGCCTCCAATTCTTATTATTCTAGTTATCTAAGGTTGGGTTAACATACGTTGGGTTGAGTTATTGCCCCTTTTTCTGTTTTCTCAAATTGTTCAATACGTTTTTCTAATCTGACTTATTCGAATTTATCCTAACATAAATAGAATAAATAAAAAAAATCAGAAAATTAGTGACTGAGAAATAATTGAATAGTACCACAATGCTTTTCTTCTATATGATATTTACTATTAAAATAAATTACTTGCTTATCAAATACAAGTCAATGTCATAGATTTTTCTTCTTTTATTTCATAGTCAATCTGCAAATGTTGATAATATTGAAAACCAAAGATTGACTTTTACAAAATCTGTTTTAGAATTGGACTGAGGTTCAAGGACTTCTTGGTAAACTTGGTCAAAATGCAATAACAAGACGTGTTCGAACGTGCGTACCAGGTGATATTCCTTCGGTAGCGATCAAGAGAGCAGAGCAACAGCTTCGTGGTCTCAAGCTCGAAGAACTCGGTGAAATTAGCAAAGGAGCTGCCACATTCTTTGCATGGGTAAAAGGCCATATTATTACTTATCATACTACACAGAAAGTAGCTTTAGCATGGAAAAAAATTGCTCAAAGATCAATAGTTGAAATGCGTCTTAGACAATGGGCTAGAAGGGTAAAAGAAAAAACAAAAGTGTTGCAAAACAAGGCTGTGGAAGCAGAACCAGAGTCCTATTTTAAACACCCTGACGTCGGAGTCGAAATTCTGAATTCGGTGTAGTCGGAATCGCAGAACTCTTATCGCGATAAAAGAATGCTAAATTTTCTGCAGAAAATCAAAAATCGGGACAAATGTTTTCTCAATTCGGGGTCAGAGTATATTGTAAGTTTCACCTGCCTCCATAGTTCTGGTGTTAAGTACTTATAATTCAGTTGCACTCGATTAACGTTGGTCAAATATTAATCAACCTTTGTCTTCATGAAGAGTATTATGTATAATTCAAAATACTATATGCATCGAAACTGTAACAGGGTGGCCCAAAAGTAGGTGGTGGCCCAAAAGCAGGTATATAGTTATTAAACTATTTTATATGCTTTGAAGCTACTTGCAGTTCACTATATGTTACTTGTTAAGTATCACAAAAATTGCTTATTTTTAGATAATAAATCTAGTGTGAATTTTACATTAGTTTTCTAGCTGCTTGGAAGGTAATAAAAAATAAATGAAATAACTGTATACCTACTTTTGGGCCACCCTGTATATACTAAAATTTAGTAGTAACTTTGTTTATTTTTCCCGCTGCGAGGATGCCTGGTCTAGGTAAGAATCATCTATTGTTTTATGCAGAACACTATGCATTTTATTTGTACAATTTTTATTTTTCATCTAATTTATCATCCGTTTCATTGCACGAAAAGAGTATGTGTTGCTTATTAAGCAAGCTCTTAGGGTTACATCGAGGGGTCATTCACAAATCCTCACAAACGCTCAACGTGTTCGTAAAGCATCAATTTCTTTCACACATCAAAAATAGATCATTCCATTTTTTGTGCCAGATAAGAGTATTTCGTGAAATTCTTTTTTTCCACATTTTCTCGAAAAGCTTGTGTTCGCAAAACTCACGAACGATGTTTTTCACCAAAAGTCAAAACCTCATGGCAGAATGTAAAAACTCATAAAATAATTTTTTATTAACTTGTGACTGTCGGAAAGATTTAGTGTTCTTGCTTGATTACAATTAATATTTTTATTCTTTTTTTCAGTCGACATGCATGATTAAAGAACATACACAAATATCCAACGAACAGAAGGCGTTAGCCGATATTGATTTACCAGATATTGGTATTCCAGATCGACCTCAAACCAGTCTTAATTATTCTTGGATAGAGAAGAACGCGTGATAAATTAGCGTACTTTATACACATAAAAACATTCTTCTTTTTCTGAATTAAATGACTTTAACGTGAAACAGAAAGAGTTTTTAGCATAAGTATTAGCAGTTCATGATGCCTTCGCTGACAATGCTGCCAGTGCCTCGATTTGACTTACATTAATGGCCTTCAACATTCAAGCAGAAGGGTGGTCAGAGTTTCTTTTATGTATGAGAAATGTTTCAAAAAGTTTGTACATCATTTCATTTTAATTAGCTCTTAACCTACCTAGTACTGGTTATTTAACATCAGATTAACTCTTATAAGATTGATAACAACCCTAGTATTTGGTTCCACATTCGCACCTCACCATTTTTTGAACAACTACTTTTTATGTTTTTATTTACAAAGCAAATCTATAATTGTAGGTATGTAAAATATGATAAACAAATATATATATATATTTAAAAAGCCTAATACTTACTATTCAAATCAGCTTCTGTTAAGAAATAAAAGTATGAATATATTTGCTTTTCAAATATATTTTTGTAGATATTATCAGAAAAACCCCAGTCTGTTTAATCAAATCTGGATTATTAGTGGTATTTGCATGTATGCGTTTAAGTCAAGTTACAGGCCAAGAGCATTACAAATGTTTTTTTTATTAGATATTCATTTTTGTAAATGTGGATCATTAAAACAAATATGTGTATGTATTTTTAAATTTCATTTAGTAACAGTTTTTCAAGTAGTATTGTTAAGGATGCTGCTAATGAGAGAGTTGCTTGACTAGTAACGTTGAAGAACAAAATAATTGCTGGACACGTGCCGGTACGAATAAATTGGCGCTCCAGAAGTGTGTGTACCAACCAATATGTAGACTAGAATTCGGTTGGAAACCGAAGACTTATCGATCGGAGGTTAGGGGATCCCCAAAACCAGTGGTCTTACTCCATAGTGACACCGTGTGTCCTATCACTAATTAATTAATAACTTGCTAATTATACGACATAATCCATCCAAAATCGATAAGCTCCTGTTCCGAACTATGATGAATGCACATGCAAAATTTGGAGCAGATTCAACCTCGCTTTCGTGAGATATCGCGTGTATCCAACAGACAAACAAACAAGCGAACAGACAAATACCTATCAACATACTTACCGATCTTAAGATCGATAAGTAGTAACTAATTTTGTTCGCCTACTTTACATCAAGTTGTGTAAAGGGACGGAAGCCTATGGGTAGGGGGTATATTAACTTAGCTAACACAGACAGTCCTCGAACTCGTAATGGAACTAAAATAAGGAAAATCGGAATAACATTGTTGCCCAACCATAACCTAGTGCACGCACTACGTGAGTACCCATAAATAGGTTGGCGTCTGAGATGAGCTGAATGGTCAATGAGATCACGTTTCGTACAAACGTTGACGTTTAGTAGAAGTGTAGAGACGCCCAAATATAATCGCCGTTCATCGGTCAGCTAACTTCGCGTGCGAATATAAAGAAAACTATATACAAAAGCTATATATGCTTTCAGCCTTGTAGTTGAAAATATTTGCGTCATGCCCACGTAATACATACGCTTATACAAGAAACTCAATTTGGACAGCTCAAACAAACCCCTCCCACGCTTACAAGTAAAGAAACTTGATGGTATACATCTGGATATTCCTGGCACATGCGAGCGCTAGTTTGAGACGGGTTATCAAGAAAGTGAGTATTCGTTTTTCCTTGCGACACCGTTTGTAATTACTCTGAATTCCCAAGACAGTAAGTTCAATATTTTGAAAAGCATGTTTATGAAAATTTATTATAAAAAAACTGATATTTGTAATCCGCTAGTGACAGCATTATTTAGGATAACTGTACCAAAAAAACTTTTGTTATCAATTCCTATTCCGAGCATGAATGTGTAAAAGGAAATTTTCTCTACTTATCAAAAAATCCTCATTTTCAACTATTTTTTCGTACATCACCAAATTCCATGAGCTCAGTGTTAAGGGAAAGCAATTGATTTTGGAATATTCATGCAGATAATTAAAAAAAAGTCTGATATAAACTTTATTATTATTTATGATAACTGTACCAAAAAACTTTTGTTAATAATTCCTATTCCGGACATGAATGTGTAAAAGGAAATTTTCTCTACTTATCAAAAAAAAAAATTATACCACATTTCTTCAGAGCGGCTTCAGTAAAGTGATGAGAAGAAGAATGAACTAACCTTTCACATATCATAACCACTCTGAACCAGTGTATGTATCTCATTCATGAATGGATGTCACACGAAGAATTTTGGTTAGATAAAATAATCAGTTGTACACCCGCAAATAATTTGCAAAGCGGCAGGTTTTTAAGTGAAATCCGTCCAATCGGGTATTAATTATCACAATAAATAATACTATCATAAAACAATTAAATTCTAGTATTGAGCAGAAGTATTCCAATTACAAAAAAAACAATAGGCTTCAAGCAGTTTCTAATCTCCGCACTTGGATATTCAGATTTTGGTCGCTGCAACATTGGAACTTTTATCATGGTGCGGTAGACCCGTGAAAGTCCTCTATAGAAGTGTAGAGACGCCCAAATATAATCGCCGTTTAACGGCCAGCTAACCTCGCGCGCGATTTCAAGAAAACTGTATACAGAAGTTATATATGCTTTCAGCATTGTAGTTGAAAATATTTGTGTAAAGCAATCATGTCAACAAATCAATACTTTTCGCAGTCCATGAAGACGACTTCCGCAATCAAAATTTAGCCCGGGTGGTATAAAGAAAAAAATTGCAATAAATGTTGCATCTTTTACAATTGCATAGCGTTAGTATGGAGTTCGAAGTGATGAATAGTCTTACACAATCAATTTTAAGTCAGACTAGGGTCCTTTCTGAACCATCATCTGAGACCCAACTTGACTCCATAAGTGTCATCGTTAATGATAAGAATTTGAAAAACATGAAAACTGGTAGACTCTGGTCACGCCCAAGTAATACATACGTTTTTACAAGAAACTCAATTTGGACAACTCAAACAAACCCTTTACACGCTAACAAGTAAAGAAACTTGTTGACATACCGACAACGTCTGGATATTCCTGGCACCCGCGAGCGCTAATTTAAGACAAGTTATCAATAAAGTAAATCTTCGTTTTTCCTCCGGCACCGTTTGTAATTGCTCTGAATTCCCAACAGAGCAAGTTCAAAATTTTGAAAAGCATGTTTATGAAAATTTATTATAAAAAAACTGATATTTGTAATCCGCTAGTGACAGCATTATTTAGGATAACTGTACCAAAAAAACTTTTGTTATCAATTCCTATTCCGGACATGAATGTGTAAAAGAAAATTTTCTCTACTTATCAACAAAAAAAAATTCTACCACATTTCTTCAGAGCGGCTTCAGTAAAGTGATGAGAAGAAGAATGAACTAACCTTTAACATATCATAACCACTCTGAACCAGTGTATTTATCTCATTCATGAATGGATGTCACACGAAGAATTTTGGTTAGGTAAAATAATCAGTTGTACATCCGCAAATAATTTGCAAAGCGGCAGGTTTTTAAGTGAAATCCGTCCAATCGGGTATTAATTATCACAATAAATAATACTATCATAAAACAATTAAATTCTAGTATTAAGCAGAAGTATTCCAATTACAAAAAAAACAATAGGCTTCAAGCAGTTCCTAATCTCCGCACTTGGATATTCAGATTTTGGTCGCTGCAACATTGGAACTTTTATCATGGTGCGGTAGTCATTTCATCTAGTAAATATAACCCACTTTTGGATGTTCTTTTTAGCAGCATGTGCATCGACACTTACATGGGCAACAGAATCGGTCTAAAAATATTCTGTACGATTTGTAAGCGAGATAAATAACGGCAGGATTTACGGCAAAACTGAATGCAGACAAATACCGACAAACATCCAATATTAGGCCCACGTATTGTGCATCCAACGCTTCTTCCAGTTGTGTCTTGGCGAACAATATGTGGAAGATATGTTGTGGAAGCCATGTTAAACTATATGCAAGAATCAGTGCTACTAACAAGGTGTTCAGAGCACGGTCTCTAGCTACATTGAATAGAATGATTCTTTGGACTTTTCCTTTGCTCCGAGATCCTCTTCCGTGAGGGGGCAATGACGCAGTTTTGCCGTTCACGTCATACATTACTGACGTCATGGATGGTGACGTCACGGAAGGTGATATTACAGACTGAGCGTATCCGATCCCAGTTTCATTTGTAGGACTGATAGGTGCGTTTGATGATCGCACTATCATAGGCGTCATCATGCTCGGGAACGAACCTGCAGGACTTGCACTCCTGTGACTAGCTGAAAGATGATTTCTTAAGCTGCCATTGTTTGGTGTCAATGCACCCGGTCGTCCTTCCGTCGCCAGCATGAGTTGCTGGGCTTCACTCGAAGCAGTTTGGTTGCTTGCCAGACTGTTGCTTCGATGTATTGAACCTCCTTTGTGACTGGTGAGTGTGCCTACAGCACCATCTACCGGATATGTTCCAAAATCTTTCAAACATTTGTCGTGTGTTGCAGAGAGATGTCTGGCAATGATCATAGCAAATAAAAGTGAAAAAAATACTGGTAAACAGAAATAAAATCCAAATATCCACCACAACCGCACGTTCTCATACGTGTGCATAAAAGTCACAAGAAAGTTAGGCGAATCTACCCAAAGCGACACACCTCGTACACATTTATCATACTGATATGTCATACCAAAGGTCGTTACGTTTGCTTGAACAAATTCATCACCTCCCATGACATAGGACGTATGAATCTTTTCGAAGAAAATTTTCAAATCTTCAAAGATATTTTCTGTGTCTTTCAGTTCTTTGTAGTCCGGCAAAATCCCTTCTTTCAGACTCGAATCTTTGTTTGTGATAAAATCAAATATATTTTCAGGTATTTGTAGTTCTTGTGTCACTGTTTTGTAAACAAAAATTTCGGGTGATGCAATCAACATTGCACCAAGCCATATCACAAATATCTTGCATATTCCAGTAAGACACGAATCACCAGCCTCTTCGTAGGTTTTTGTGTTCTGCCCAGCTGATCGAAGTCTATCGATGCTCAATACACAGAAACTCAGAACAGTGACGCCAAGTATGAAGAGCTGAAGAAAAATAACAACCGTTAAATTTAACTCCTGAATAGTCCATAAAAGATTTTTAAGTATTACTATATCTGTGTCTATAATCACTGAAAACAATGAAGTTGTGGCAATTGAAAAGGCAATCGGAAAGGTCATCGATAAACTTTAAATCATATTTATGACATCTTGATGTAATTGTTGGTCACAAAAATGCTTTGAGGATCGTGTTTAGCTTTTGCAAAATTGTATTTCATGTTGTTGTACGTACAAACAATAATTTTTTTCTCTAACTACTGGGCCAACCGCTTTCAACTTTTCAGTAATAATTATAGGCGTTTGTGAAACCCATCTCGAAATTTGGTCTGATCACGTGGATTAATCAGAGAGAACACGGGTGACGGTAGTACAAGGCTATTCCTATATCTGTGCGTCACTCTATTGGCAAGAGCGATAATTGATATTCTGATGTTCATACACTAGGATTTCTAAACATAAGATCAGTTCGTAGATAGATAAATGAAGTAAAAATCTATTGTCGAAGAAGTTTGTTGAGCAAGTTCCCCAAATCACAGAAATCCAGGATCGGAGAACACCACATGAACGAACGAAAAAGAAACAAATTTTAATTTTTCCTTTCCAACCGCTTACAAAAGTACGAATCATATCAATCATAATGTCAGGTAGATGAAAGCCTAATTTCACGAACGAGGGTACGAGTAACGATAACTAATTCATACGGAATCGATTTGCAATCAATATCCATTAAATAGGAAGCAACCGTCAAACAAAAGCCTTCGCCCGAAAAAGTTCAAGCTAATTAGTAACAATTAAAATAAATGAGTTGGCTATGCAAAATAGTGTGTTTACTTTAATTAAATGCGCGAATATATATATATGTATAACGTCGTAAAAGCAAAGGCGCGATAGGAGTTGCTTTGTATTGTAATATTATTAGAAATACACACATCAAATTCGCTTTTAACGATGCCTAGTTAGAAATTAAATAACTAATAAATTAAGATTCCTTTCATTGCCATTTCTCACTTCAAAATCAGGTTCCAATTTTCGGGTCATTATAATGTAAACATGAAAGCCCTAGTTCTCGTCATTTGACCTTGTCATTGTTTGACCGGGTGTAATCTATGAACTGTTGACTGAAGTCGTGACATTGCATCGCAAATACTAAACAAACCAACAGTAATCAAATTACGACGCTATTTTACCAATTATAAACATTCAAATGATATATTGACTGCAACACGGATCACAGTGCTTGAAATTGCAATAACAATTTAAATTGCATTCTATATACAGTACTCCTATAAGATCCAATTGATTCAATACAAATTGAGGATCATGCAACAGAACTCAAGCACAAAACAATTCTATAACAAATGTTTTTCCCGATAGAAGGAAAAAACCTTTATTAATTAAATCTGTAGTGAACGGGACGTAATGTATGTGTAGAGCAAAGTATTGAATATTAGCAACGTTAATTATGATCGGTGTTGTTCACTGTTTAAAATCCACACTTCCTATCCAGATAATTTTAGTCCTTAAAACAGGAACAAACATCCGATTTATTTGGGGTCATAAATTTGAATCAATATTTGTATAATATTCATTTCATATGAAGATTGAAGAGTTTCAAAATAGGCAAGGGTAGGAAATGTACCAAAAACCATCGAAACCACGGAATTTATATCTCAGCCTAGGACTCAATGTGGTAGATTATACACGCAATTTTGAATGGGTTTAACATAGAAATAGTGGTATCTTGATCAAGTATGCTTCAGGAAAAGTAGCCCATGATGCATGTTGTCATAACATGTAGATGAGCGGTAGCCTGTTCCAAATAGTGCTTAAAAAATCAGATCGGGCAGAAGCAGATATCTAATATTAGCCATGACTGACAAAACTGTGTCCGTAAACACATCATCAAAGTCGGCGAGGTGAAGAACGCGCACAATAATTACGAGCGGTATAATGGCGCGAAAACAAATAGTAACTTTAGATCGCCCAGGGCTACGATAAAGACGTCAGTTGTATGTTTAGACTGACAACTTCAGAGCGTGTGAATTAAAAGCTACGAAATCCGGAAACATTAATTTCGGGTGGGATTGAAAATTCTGAATTCTGGCAAAGATGGGACGGAAGAGATGTCACAAATTGTTTTAAATTAAATATCTCTTTTTCGAGTTCAAGGCAACTAACTATTCGTCTTCCAGGGTCTTCTTACTAGTGCTAGGTAATAATAACAGACATTGTTTGAGCAAATCACAACAGTTCATCTAAAAATGGAACAATTTTAAACCATTTAATTCTGCAGTTTTTTATTATTTGTCAGTGACCACCCAGTGTGTAAAAAACCGTCGTTTTTTCCAGCGTAACATCATACCTTCAACCAACTGGTGGCTGAAAAGTAATAGCTATCACTTTTAAATTTTTGGGTTCGTGTGGCGAAAAGGAATATTTTTCACGTTGAGATGCTTCGATTTGCATATAGTCAGTCTTAAGTGCAGACTGAAAACCGAAAGTCTTATGCATTTGTATATACCTCAAAATAAAATAGAAATGTGTGCTATTCAGTACATGTTTTTTGATAGTGAAACAGTCGTAAATATTCTTATTATTTCCCTAAAAGTTTAAACTTATTTTAAGACATGATATAAGCAATCTGAATTACCGCGGAAACTATCCCTAGAAAACGATACTACTGTAATTATAGACGAGACGGCAAATTACGCACAAAGCCAAAAAAGTCGGGACCGGAAGGTGATCTGTTCGTCACAAAAGTTTCTCGTAAATGTCATCACAGTGTTGCAGAACAATAATACAAAAGAAAGGTCCTGATTGAGAAGACGAGGGACAGTGGCTTGGCTGATGTATTTCAAAGAACGCGGCGGTTTGGATGCCGGGACTCTTTCATTCACGTGTACTCGAGCAAAACGTTCAATTTATCTCTGTACAATGGAAAATGAATACCTATCAAAACAACTGTCTTTCACCACATAAATTCGGCGAGTTTTGAAATAAGCGAGAGTTCTAACGTAATTATTTAAAGTGAAAATGTTATTTAGTAGGAATGTAGAATGCTAACAAAAAATAATTTTTTTTGCCATGTTTTCTGTTTTAACCAAACGAATTTACTAAATAACAAAATAAAATCCTATTCGCTTCCTATTCGTGTTTTGTCAGACAAAATTAGACTATGGTTTATTGAAACCTCACAATGAATAAAAATTCAATGGAAAGAGATCGGGCAATATTTACATCTCTACCGCAAGCGTGTTGATTTGTGTGGAATCGTTAGCTTGGTCGGTTTCCTTAACGCAAGAAAATCCGCAACTATAGTCAAAAACAGTCATTCATTAAATATGGTTATCACAGACATGTTCATTTGCATGGAATCGTTTGCATGCCGGTATTTTTATTACAAGAAAACCCACAAATGTCTACAAAAATTGCCAATAAATATGAGATACTGTAAATAGGATAGGCTTTGATCTTTTGACAAAAACAAAGCAAACAAACAAGCTCAAAAACGAACAAAGGAAACCGTACAAATGGACCAATCAAGAACCCATCCGTCAATTTATTTAGACATCCACGATGAGACCGACTAAATTAATTTATTCCTATATTTTTCCAATCTTAGTATGGTGACCTAACCCGATAATTATTGCGATCTTTGTCTTTGCATTTATATCTTGTTTTGTTTGAAGTAGTTAACTACGATTTAATATTCGAACCATGCTCACACCAAGAGGAATAGGAATAGCCCCAAAATAACATTCGATTCGAACGCCATAAAGGTGTTTGAATTACAGGTACATTTTTGCTGCAGACCGTTAAATTAGTAAATAAACAATTGATAACCGTATTTGGCGCTATAACATCAAAGGAATACGTCCATTTTTCTGTTTTTTAATGTCTCGCTTTGGTTAAAATATGACCTGGCGTGGAAAACGTCAATATTGATATAATATACTTTTTGTCAGCACAATTGCCTCGGTACATTAAAATTATGCCCATCAAAGAAACTGGCGATTATATTCAGAAACTTAAATCAAAATACGACTTTATGATATCATATATCTCGTCGACATAGCGCAATAAATGTCACGTGTTCAGAGATCAACGAATCATTAAAATGAGAAGCGATAAAGCAGTCATAATTCCCATGCAAACATTGTTTAATTTAGTGGTACATAAACATCGCCAGATTCTGTTATGACAAACTTTTTTGGGACGGTAGAATATTCGTTTAAAACAAGTCAAGAGGAAGCTCGATAGGAAATTGAACTAACTATGTGGTCATTCTCTGTATCGAGATATAGATAGATAATCGTGTGGGAATATTGAACAATTGTTACCCATTTAGAGATCCCCACCATGGGAGTGACGAGGCCCACATGCCTCGATTGCATTTTTAAAACCAAATAGAGAAATGATAGTCCAAGTTACATGCCACTCTTAATAGGCAATAGGCAATAAAGTGAAAGTGTTCTGTACAAGTAATATCAAAGTTACCTTATGTTTGGTTCAAATACGGGCCACATATAAATTGAATTACTGGAAACGACCAAAAAATCATATCCGGCCATATTTGACAAAAGCATACATCATTAACATATAATCAAATATTAGCTTACCAAAGTAAACAATTCTAGTAGATGAATGAAGGTATTCCCAAACGATGAAATTATAAATTTATTATTCTTTACACTAAACACAACAGATTGGTCATATTTTATCGGAAACAAATGAATGAAACGTGACTTGAAAAACAATTTGTACACATTTCTCGTCGGAGAATTTATATTGAACAGCTAAACTCATGCTTGGAAAAATTAGGCAAGTTACAAACCGTCTTTCTAAAACCTTAATGCCGGAACACATCCTTTACGCCTAAATACGGCACCCAATGTAACGATGGCATTAATGGAAAATAACTCTGGCAAAAAATTTTGTATACAGTGTGTATAGAAGTGGTCTAAACCTAAAGTCTTGTCGTTGTC